ATTTCAGTTCGCTCATCCCGTTGCTTATCCTGTGTCAAATTCTGAACTCGATCGAGTGCATTCTTTCAGCGAGGCGGACAAGTTGACCTACGCAGGAAGACCAGATGACGGTTGGAATGTTCGACTCGATGATGGCAAACGATTTGATCCTCCATGACTCAGGCTCGGTTTTCTATTTCAACTGCTTCAATGTCGAGGACACCAACGATCCTGACGCAGGGCTACTTAATGGCCAACTGGCCATCTCCGGTCGCCTGCTGCGCGAAGCCGTGTGCGCGCACTTCCTTTCATTCGTTCTCCAATGTCCGCAAGCTGATTGGTCAGGGCAGATTTGACCCCGTAGTCAACGAAGTTATTGAGCTCATATCAAACCAACTCTCTACTTCTCCGCGAATCGACGCTCTACTGCTCGTCGGTGGCTTCGCTGGCAGCGCCTATCTCAAGACACGGATTGAAGTCACGTGATAGCTGTTCAACCTTGAAAATCCTGCTCAATGCTCACACAGGAAACATTTGGACATGATATTTCAGTGATCTCCCGTCCACCGGACAGCGATACAGCCACCTTGCGAGGGGCTGCACGCTATGGGCTTGCTCGCCGCCCGCTGGTCTCGCAACTCATTGTGCCAAGATCATATGTCATGATTGCAAGCGCTCTTCTGCGTTTTGGATACCACGGCGCTCACCTTATCGCAGGTAAGACTACCAGCAGAACCCGAGGACCGGGAGCGGCGGCCAGGTTATGTCAGCCGCAACGACGCGGGGGTGGAGATTTGCGAGAACCGGTATGTTTCTGGACTGATCATCTTTTCTGATTTTCCGCATCAATCCCGGGCTCCACGTCGAGTGATGAGCCGGTGTCCCGGTCCCGACATGTCTCTCATAATTCGCCATGCCGTCTTGCATGCAGTACCATTTGATTCAAGTCAGGCCGGTAACCTCAGAATCCACCTCCAGTGAGAGGTCGGTGATTGCCATCAAGGCTATTTATTACGTGCAACTGCGGATTTGTGTTCGAAAGCGTGACATGCCTGACCCCTCCGGTGGCCTGCTGACAACGGTTCTCAGACTACATATCTCGTCCAAAGAGGGGTCATCATCCGCAAAGGGTCAGTGCCAGCAGCCCAGCTGCACGCTGTCCGCGCTCACCATTTGTCGTCCGACATTTTCGTCCGAATTGTGTTCGACGCCGACCTTTTTGATCGTATGAATTGCTGACCGCGTGCCACCCATCAATCCCATGAACATGACCCCATCAAATGCGCACGCTGAATCTGGACGTCATTCCCCGTCGTTGGCGCTTTGACATCTGATGTACATGGCTTTCGACCGTCTCAAAAGCGCAGACAACGTGTAACAACCCGCTTCTGGTGAGTCTGAGTGTCTACATTGGGCCCGGGGAGCTTCCAGCACATGCACCGGTTCTGATCTCGACGGCAGCAAATTCTCCCGCGATACCATGGGTACGTTCATTTTCGCATCGGTAATCTCTGGCAGCTCGATCCTCTCTTCTTTGCTTTTCGTCGTCGTGGCTCCTTGTGGGTGCATCAGAGAGACACTTGCGTCTGTCATTCGGCTATCAGCTCGATGTCGGCTGCGGTTACAGTGTCCGCGGAGACTTGCGAAGTGCCCACAACCGTGACAGGGGCACGGACTTTGTGACGTGTATGTCCGGATTTGATGCGCGATGCGTTGATGCGGACTGGCAGATTCGGATGTCATCGCGCGCGCGCGCCACTTTGCGCCTTCCGAGAATCCCAGTGCCGCATGGCTCATGATCGATTTCTGTCTCGAACTTCCCCCCGGCCTTTGTCTGGCCCAGAGCCCGACAGGTCCCATGTCCGAGGATGAAGCGTGCACGCCCGCTCTCTGAGCCATGACTGGCGCGTCGAAAGGCGTCAACAACTCGCCAGCTGGGTCCGAGGACCTCGCTCATTTCAGAGTCTCTTCTGCGATTCGCTCCGAGAGTGTTTTTCATTAAGCCTTCTGCCCTGGATTGTCGGTGCCTTTCATTTTCACGGGCTCGCACGCAGCCCTCCGTTCCTCGGGAAATTGAAAACATTCCGCTTCTCTGTTACCTGAATGCTTCCAGTTGCTGAGTGTGACCAACAGACTCCACGTTCACTGCAACTCTTTATACAACTGAAGCCACAGCGGCCGAAGCACGTTATGCCGATGAGGTCAGCCTGGTTCCACTGAATCTTATCTCCACTCTCTGATCGTTCTTTAGGGCGCACTGCGCGAACTTTGCGTATGGCGCGTAGATCTGAAGGGCGTAGGGGCATTCCGGGTGCGTCCGGACCTGATCCTCGCCTTAGCTGCCATTTCCAATGCTCGCAGGCCAACGCATCGGCAAGTGCCGAGGAAGGTTTTTACACAGGTTCGCCATGAACGATCTTCCCGCGAAGATTGAGCATGAGAATAACCACCTGTCCTTGGCAGATTTCGATATAGGGCTCGAGGTGGACAGGTATCTGGAAGCTTCACTCCGAGAAAACATACATCGTCAGCTGATTTTGCAGTGCTGAGGTTCGAGGCGTGCTTCTAGACACTGCGGGTTTGGAATGGGGCAGGGTTGTCTTCGGGTTTACGACCTGAGATTCCGTTACACTTGCAGGCTTAGGTACTTTAAGCACACGCCGAAGCCTGGGAAATCGACGGAATGTGAAAAAAACGGAGGGAGGCACCGAGACGGGTGATGTGTGTTGCGTGGTCGACCGAATCTGAGATAAACGCGAGATTCTAGGAGATGCGCGGAAGATGCGATCTGTTCGCTTGTAAATGGGGATAGCACCCTCGAACCCAGTTCTTTGCCACGCTGTACGAATTTGGCGCGGGCCGTGGATCAAGGTCTCACCTTTTCAAAGCCACAAAATCCATATCCACATTTTCGCGCCCTATAAAACCATCTCTGCCGCCATGTCGTTAGGGCCGCACCAGCATGTTTCCTCCCTCGCCCCCCGCCAGCGCCCCATCGGCCGAAAACGTCAAAATGGAATCCGAGACCTCCGACGTCAGCTCTCTCTCCCGCGCTCAACTGGTCGCCGCTCTCGAACCTATATCATCGACCCGCCCGTCGTGGTCCAACTGGGCGCAAACTTTCCACTGCACTCCCTCCGCACGCTTCGCTCCCCGCACTGTGCACGAATGCCGTCTCGCCCTTGAGCTCGCACGCCGTGACGGTCGCGTCTTGCGACCAGTGGGCATCGGGCACTCTCCGTCCGACTTGGCCTGCACAAGAGACTATATGCTCGACATGACGCGCATGAACCGAGTGCTCGAGGTGTGTCCGCACAATCGCGCCTTGTCTTCAATCAATCATCTCCCTCGCATAGATCAATGCTGCCTCCAGCTACGTCCGGGCGGAGGCGGGTATCACACTCGACGCCATACACTCAGCTCTAGGCCCGCATGGCCTGGCCATGCGCAACTTGGGCTCAATCTCAGACCAGACATTGGCCGGGATCGTCACCACTTGCACCCACGGATCCGGAGTCGACTTTGGCGTCATGTCAACCCATGTGATAGCCCTGTCTCTGCTGACACCGTCTCTTTCCCTCGTTCATCTCTCGCCTCGCGATCCGGATCCCAAGATACGCGACCTATTCACTGCGACCATTTGCGGGTTGGGCTCGACCGGTGTCATCATTGACATCACGCTCGAGGTCGAACCTGCTTTCAATCTCAGGGACGAGCATACATTGCGGCCTTTCGGCGAAGTCATAGACGAGCTGGACGAGCTGAAAGGGAAGGGGGAACATGTCCGGTTGTGGTGGTTTCCAGCAGTGGGCCAGGTCAAATGCAGTGTTGCCGACCGGACCAAAGAAGTGCGTCGTCACCGTTTCGGATTTGCTCCTGTTCTCACACGCCCTGGTGCCTAGCCTCGGCGGCTGCCATTCTCTGGATGGACCGCATGGTTCTGGGATGCGGTCATTGGCTTCCATGCGATTCAGACTATGCTGGTCTTCAGTCGCTTCCGAGTGTTCTCCGATGCCGCTCCCATCGCTCCAAGCCAGTCTCCGAAGACCAGTCGGCTATTTTCGGCGCTATTGTGGGGTCCCCGTCACGTTCTGGCCCCCCTGCACCACTTCACAAAAAACGCGCACATCTACGCATGCCGGTTGGCGCTCTGGATGGGCGGGAAGCACAGCGTGACGGTCAACCGTAGCGATCTGGTGTTCAATATCGAATGTCGGGTAGGTCTCCGCAAATCTTACTCCCTCGGGCTTCTTTGTTACCTATTTTGGGCTGCTTCGGATGACATCGTTTCGGGATTACTGATTCTTACCCGCAGTACCCTCAACACACCACGGAATGGGCGGTTCCCTCTGCAAATGCGAAAGCTTGCCTCCTAGAACTCAATCAGTGGCTTGAGGAACAGAGGGTGACTGATGGTGTGAGTTCCGCTCATCTCCCCTCCTCCGCAACCTGAACTGACTGTTCTGCAGCCTTCGTCTCGACCGCATTTTCCCATTGAGATCCGATTTAGTAAGGCGGACGACCTGTGGTTGAGCCCTAGTAACGGCGTCGAGACGTGCTGGATCGGAGTTGTGGTGTTCAAGTGAGCATTCTACTTCGTTCAATGCCCGTGCCTGACAGCATCATCAGACCGTACAACCTTCCAGTGCGGTACCAAAACCTGTTCTCCGCGTTCGAGAGAATCATGGAAGCGCATTCGGGCCGACCGCATTGGGCTAAGGCGCATCATTTGACGCCGCAGACTACACAAGCGATGTACCCCCAACTCGGAAAATTCCTGGCAGTCTTGCGTGGCGCTGATCCGGAGGGAATTCTACGAAACGAGTACGTCGAACGGCACCTACTCTCTCGGGACCATCCGGAGGCGTTTTGGGGGAGGGAGTACAAGCTGCGGAATGGACCTCCGCGTCTCTCACGGCCTTGGCTCGCTCGATCGGACTGGCGCCACGATTGGCGCATTCCACCACCACCTTCCCACGTCGCCCAACTCAAAGCGGACAGGGCGGCCCGGGTCGACTGGACAATCGCAGACCAGTCTCTCCCCTCCTCAGACTCGGAGTCGGATGCCGAGACCTTGGCAGAACTCGATGTTCCCCAGTGCGCTAAATACTAGCCACTGACCCATACGAAAAGTATCTTAGACAAGCAGCACTGCCGCAACGGATTGATTGTCTGCTAACTATGTCGTATTTCGCAGTTCTGATAAGTAGATTGTTGTAAACTCATCATATGCCCAGCTGTTGCTGGATGGACTCGCGAACTCTTCTCTCATATTCGGGCCGGTTGTCACGATACAGCTTGCTGCAGTCAACGCTCGCAGGGGACTCGAGATTGGGCTCTGAGTCCATTGTCAGAGAGAGCGGGAGTCGGCACGACATACGATTCATACGCACCGGCCAACATGGAGATCACACTCAGAATAACCTTCTCGACACTCTGCACCGGGCTCCAGCGCTCCGATGCCTGCTCGTACTGCATCGGGTCGTCTCCCGGTGTATGCAAGATCGAGATGCAGACCGTCCCGTCCGGGTAAACTAGAGTGCCAGACATCAGTCTCAATTCGCCGATTGATCCAAGGGGGCCCTGGTCTTGTCTTGTGAAGATGGGGATGATCGGCGCTGGATACACAGATGGATCCCGCTTTGACAGGCTGTTCCATCTGCGAAGCACGACGGCTATGCATCGGCTGGCCGGGCTGATCGTGGAATTGCGGGGGGGAAACAGCATCGTACGAGAACAAGTGATGGCGACCAGGGACCGGGCACAAGCACAAGACACGTACTATTGGGATGGAACAGCGGCGGGTCAAACTTCATTTTGAAAGGGGATAGCGGGTAGTCGGAGGGCTGGGACCGCGAGCCGGTGAGCAATTCATAACCAAAGCCGCGCACGGAAGAGCAGACTCACGAAAGTCAGTTTCGCCGCGAACACCCCGCCTTCCTACACACTTTCAACAGCCGGTCTAGCGGCAGCCGAGGAACATACAAATGGAGTGTCCTGGGGCCCGGAGATGAGCGCCTCCCAGGTGAAGAAGTCGCTCTCAGTTATAGGCCCTTGATTTCAGATCGGGACGAGCACACGGTTGCAGGGATCCGGGCCTGGGCGCACCAGCAGTGAACATCCCATCGGGTGATCCTGTGTGATTGGTGGCCGTGTGAGACCGGTCTCTGGAAGCACACGTAGCGTATGACCTGACCTCCAGATGTGAGCTGTCGGTACTCCGTCATGAGCCGCCGAAGGGCGGTGGAGGAGTTGTTGCTGCGCGAGTTCATCGTGGTGATGGATCGAGGAGTGCGCTGATGGCCGCGGCATCAGATGAGAAGCAGCCGGGATCAGAAACCACTCTAAACGCTTAAGATTATGGGTCACGTAGGGCTACAGTTCCAGAAGTGGATATCTATGGTACATTTGATATCATGGCCGCCGACACAACATATAAAATCATTAGGCATCATCGAGAATCAGACGGGGAACAACGTTCATCGCCATGAGCTTGGCACAAAAATTAGCGAGGAGAAATGCGGCCGGGAGACCTGTGGATGAGCGCCCACCTCTTGAAAAAGCAACTTGGCTGCGTATGGGATGGTGAGCTGCGCCATTTTCTTGGAACTCTTGCAGAATGGACACCAGCCATTGTAACCCATGAGACCACACTTTGAGCATGCGTTCACTTCAAACTTGTCTGACGAGATCATCAGCCGTTCAAGAAGAAGTTGAGTTGCGCCATAACCGATAAGACAATCGCGTTCCATCTCTCCTAGCCGCAATCCCCCTTCCCTGGATCGACCTTCCGTCGGCTGACGCGTCAGTGTAGCTCGCGGCCCCCTGCAGTGACTGAGCCGTAGAAACCGGAAGGGAGAACACCGGCACCTACCTTGCCCTGGCATGCATTTTATCCATAACCATGTGCTCTGAAAGAGGCAAACTGAGATAGAGTTGGACAAAAAAGGAACCAGCTGACTGAGTTTCTGGTATCACAGAGTTGGCGTTTAGTCCAAGTCTGGGTTGAGCGTTCGCACCTGATAGTAGATGGGTCCGAAATAAACGTAGGCCTCGAGCGGCTCGCCAGTGATGCCACTGGTCAGCATGTCTTTGCCCGCATAGCTAAACCCGTTTTCCACCAGAATGCGGCTCATATCTTCAACCTAAACGAAGACGGTTACAACCGAATCAGACACCGGGGACGAAAGCCACCTTGGAGCCACCAAATGCGGTCCCGTATTGCAGGGTCCCGCTCAAGACACCTGCCTTACCGGCAAGAAGTTCGATCATTTTACCGACGGTCATGCGCGAGGGGAAACCATGCGGATTCATGATAGTGTCTGCGAGGATCAGCTCGGTAGGTTGCCGACACACAGCGACGAGAGACGGCCAACCGGGATTGATTCCATCGTCATTAAACGGCATGTCTTCTTGGTTGACAATCAGCCCGCACACTCCCTTTTGTCCGTGACGGGAAGAGAACTTGTCGCCGAGCTCCGGCCTCCGAGTTTGTCGAATGAGCACCTTGATTAGCGTCTGGTCATTTTCCGTGTCACTGATCATGACCTTGTCGATGTTGCCTGCAACGGGCGACTTGTAAGTCATCGGCGTGTTCCGGTAGGGAACCGTCGCCGCCTGGCCGACGAAAGCGTCGTCGGAGGCGTTGTTTGGGGATTGTTTGTTGACGTATACATCCCCTGGATCGACGCGTTCCCCGACGCCGGCGAGCCCGTCCAACTGGATAATGTCGTACTTTTTAGCGACGGTGCCCGGGTTGTTCTCGTCGGGTGGGGCATCGGCCAGCCGGTCAAAGCTTGGTAACGGTTGATCGCAGTACCGGACCGAAGACACGGCGACTCACGTGCCATTGGGATACTTGCGAATCAGAGTCGCATTCTTGCGCAGAACTTGGCATCTGCCGTAGCCGCGATCGAGACTAGACTGAGTGAATGGCAATCAGTGGCGTCCCCGAGAACAAACAAGACCGACCCTGTTTAAGATCAACGCGTCCTCGATGTCGTAGCCTGAATAACTCATCACCGCGACGGTCGCGTTCTGCCCGGCCGGAAGTCGATCATAACCGACGAGCTCGATCGTCTTGGTCTTGACCATGGGCTGTTGCGGGTAAACCGACAGATATAGCAAGGTGTCGATCCGATTGAGCTGGTTGTAGGCAATCGCGCCGATCGCTTGCTTGCCCATGGCGCACTGATATGTGTTTCGCGGAGATTGATTGTGATGGGGATACGGAATCAGCCCGGCCACTGCCCCCAGCAGCGTGAACGGCTCGATCTCGAGATGTGTCGTCGCCGGAACAATGTCTGTCTCATACAGTGCAATGTAAGTGTCGTTCTCCTCGTTGACATCCAGATATTCGACCAGGCCTTTGCGCAGAAAGTCGTCGAATGTCACAGCGCCCTTTTTTAGAAGCTGGTGTGTATGTCAGCACTGCCGAGAACAGCTGGCAGGACGGAAGATACCGAGACATGTTCCGACGTGACTCGAGGCCGCTGGTTTTCCACGATGATCATCGGTCGACAGATCCGTCCTCCGTCACTGGCGATGTGCACGGCTCGGTGATGGTGGTTGATATACACACTGACGAACTCGCTCATCCGCCGCGCACGGCGGAGCCGTCTGAGCTGGGCAACGAATCGGGCGGGGTACCGGGTCAAGCCGATGATGGTGCCGTTGACGTTGACGACAAAGGTGTGCGGGCCGTAGATCTCAGTGCCAGTAGCCAGGTTGATGTCTGGCACATCTGAGCGGCACTCGATATAGACTGAGCTCCCACTGACCTTCGACGCCGAGCATAAAGGCAAGCTGGATGATTGGCTCCTCCTCGACATCTGTGGTGATGTGTGTCATGAGCGCCAAATTCTTGACGAGCCCGCATGCCTCTCCTTCTGGTGTGTCACTCGGACAGAGCATCCCCCACTGACTTGGCTGCAGGGCACGGGGCCCGCTGACCTTCCGAGTCTTCTCGAACTGGGAAGATATCCGAGTCATCATACCTAGCGCAGCGATGAAACTCAGTCGGCTGAGCACGTGGGTCACCCCGGCACGCTCCATCTTGAACCGCTTCAGGGACCAGTTCCCAGTGGAGATCGCGCGGGTGAAGCCGGCCGTGAGATGATCCGCCTGGAACTGCATCGTGTTGAACGCATCGAATTCGTTTGTCCTCGACTGTTTCTTCAACACCTTGTCGATGGCAGATTTGAGATTCGCGTTGTACGTCTTGAATAAGTCCTCGAAAAGAAGCGCAAGAAGCTGCCCTGCCCTGCACACGAGTCTCAGCATAATGCAAACGGCGCCAGATGACGGACAAACAATTCAAGGCGCTTGTTTCCGACATAATCTCTGTCATCGACCATCTTCTCATCTTCCATCGCCATCAAAACCCGGCGGGTCATCGTAGCCACGAAGATCGCTTTGGCACGAAGATCCATTGCGCGAACTGGCACATGCGCTAGCACGATCGTGGCAAGCGCCTCGAGCGCATCTTCCCACGCCGGGCGACGAGGGCCCATTACTTTCCGGTTAACCTTGACTCGTGTGCCAATGTATTCCAACGCTTGCTGGCGCGTGAAGATGCCAAGTTTTGCCGCTTCTTCCATGCTGGCCGAGAAGGCCACTTTGTACGCCTCGGTGTTACCAGCAGTCAGGAGCAAAATTTCCTTGTCTGATTGGAAACCCAATGCTTTCAGTGCGATGACGATAGGGATGTCCTCATGCGTGCAATTGTGTCGGAGGTAGATCTTGCCCTTCTTCGTCAGAACGTAGGTTTTCGATTTAAGACCGCCGTGCGTAGATCTGCGTGTGAAGGGTGAGAACATCAACTCGCATGGTCACTCAGCACGCACGATGTACAGGACGCCTGCACAATGCCCTTGACAGTGTCCCATTCGACGATGATCCGATTCTTGCTCAACTGCTCCTGCACGAGAATGACCTTCTCCGTGCCCTTGACAACAAAATACCCTCCGGGGTCCAGCGGACACTCGGACATCCCTGCTAGATCCTGGTCGGTTTTGCCAGTCAACACGCATTTGTTACTGCGCAGCATAATGGGCAGTCGCCCGATCTTGAGAGAACGCTGGACGATGCTCTTCCCCCGAGTGTAGTGAATGGTCACCACAATGGGCGCGCTGTATGTGGTATCGCGAAGCCGGCATTCATGCGGAGTGACCGGTCGTTGGGTATGCGCCAGGCCTGCATCGTCGCGATCCGGCAGCCCAACCCGGATATCCGTATACTTGAGCCAGAACCGCGGGTCGACATCTGACGTGACCTTGTTATTAGCTTTAACGATGTTTTTGATGTCGGTGTCAACGAAGTAGTTGAACGAGTCAATGTGCTGCTTCACTAGTCCTTTGACCTTGAGGAACGCAGGGAGCAGAAGCCATTTATCCTTGACGTGGATTTAAAACACAGTTGATCCAACAAGAGCTCGCTCCCCCGCACCTCGACTTTCTTAATTGGATCGGTCAGACCCAGTCCGTGCCAGTTTTCTCCGGTAATCTGATCCCATTCGCTTTCCTCCTCCATGACGTCCATGATGTTCGGATTATAAGGCCACGATAGCAACTCCTGTTCGAGACCTCGGAGGCAGGCGGTATATGTCCACGGTCACTGTGTGCAACGACCCAGAACTGAGGTTTGGGTGTCCCAAAATGGGAGGAGAGAAGAAAAGCACGTGCAGACGCGGTCACGAGATTGTGTATGTAGTCCGTGACATTTACAACAGATTTGAACTGAGATTACTTATGTATGTGAGCCACGAGAAGCGATGCCAGATACACTACGTTGGAGATGAATGCTAATAGCCGCCCTGCCCCTGACCATTGGTCCCCCATGATCCATCACCCCAAGCACCTTCCATGCCATATTGCTGGTCCGCCCAGCCAGCGCCGTTGAACGCAGGATTATATGCCATCCCCATGCCCATTTGACCCAACATCCCGTTGGAGCCCATTCCGGCCCCGTTCAGTGCCATCACACCGTTATTGATGCCCATCCCGCCGGCATTCAAACCCATTCCTGCACCGGGCATAGCCATCATTCCCGGCCACTGACCGTGCATCATCCCTTCCGCGCCACCCAGCATGCCCATCCCATTCATCGGTATCCCCATCATCATCTGGGGCATTTGGCCCATCGGATTCGGCACGAATCCAGCCCGGTTCACCGCAGCAAAGCGCGGCCCCACATTCGCACCCGGGACGTGATTTGCCTGCGCCTGGAGGGAGCCGGGTCTCACAGGTGACTTGGGCCGCAGGGCGTCTATCTCAGATGTGGTAGGAACAACCATGCGCCCCCCAGCTGCAAGGACCTTGATGTCCGCATCCCATGACTCGAGATTCCATGGCCGGGCGACCGCTCCTTCCTCGGAATAGACAGTGCCCGTCCCATCCGGGTCCAGCCCCAAACGTGACTCCTGCCCGGAAGCCAAGGCAGTTACCCATCCTCGGCGCAAGGATGTTGGTGCTCGCCCGAAGAGCTCCAGTCTCCGCGTTCCAAGGCAAAAGTTTTCGATCAGGCTGTACATCTCTGGAGGTTTCCGAGTAGGATCGGCGTCGTCCCCTTCCCAGAAGATCACGTCGGTGTCTGAGAACCATGAACACTAGATCAACATAGTCGCAGGGAGTCCACATACCCACATTACAGTGAACGAACCAACTATCCGTCGAGCGCCGCACTGTGCCACGAATGCCAATCAGACAATGCTGCTTCGTTCGTGTGAGAAGAGAGGTGGTCGGAGGATCGGTCTATGCTTCATATGAATAGTGCGACACCAAGACAGACTCGAGGAAACTGACACCTGGGCCGTTATTTGTCGTTTTATTGGTCTTGACCCAAACTACATCCTCACAGCGTCGATAACCCCACTTGGCCAGGACCTCCCGCCCCATTTCCAAAGCCTCTCCAGCACCACTTCCGACCCACAAAAAGACGAAACTAGGATCCGCCGCCAGTGATGAGATAGGTAGATTCTGAAGATCGTCCCACGAGAACGATGAAGAGAACGGAGGGTCGATAAGAATCACGTCGAATTTGGCCGGATGCACAGTGTGTAAGGCAGAGAAAGGTAGATAAGTCGGTGCCACGGAATGATTGTTGACCGACGCCTTCTTCAATGACAAAAGGCGTTGCTGCTTTGGATACCTGAGCGGAAAGTCAAGAAGGAAGTCAGAAAGCCACGCCGACACACGCACTCCTCGAACCGGTGCTCAGGTTCAGATCCCAACACCCAGTTCTGCGGCCACTCCCCACCATCGACGTATCTCTGCGAATAGTCGTTGCGAATAGTCTCCTCCTCAGGGACATAGTTCTTGTACCGAGCAACGCGTGCACGCTTGGCAGGCGGCAGATCCATTCGCATTGGAGGCGTCACTACAGCCGGAGCAAAGGCAGGAATAACATCGTGATCGTCCAATGGGGAACTCGGCGGAGAGTCGAGTAGTGGTAGTTGTAGGAGATCATCAGCAGGAATGTGAAGAGATTGGAGTTGGCGCCGGTGCGCTTGCTGTGACGAGCGAACTCTTTGGATGAGCGCAGAGTGAGCAGCCAGCAGGTCATTTGCGGAGCTGATTATCTCGACCGTAGCTGCCATAGTCCAGCATACCAGTTGTAGGGAGTAGAAGGACAGCAATGCTTATGTCACCATCGCGGTCAGCTGGTCATAATCGCCGCGTTGTCAGTCACCCAGTCATAGCGCTCCAAAGAAGGAGCTTGTAAAGGAGCCACGATAGACTAGAGAGCAATACGGAATACAAGAGACTGCGCGTATACAATGCGATATAGTCAGTTATCGCATGATTAGCAAAATTTATGGGTATCGAGTCCGAGCTTGAGTCTAGATTCCCCGACTCCTCTTGTAGTCCGCGAGAAGATTGGGAACATCCTCTTGAAGAGATGACTCGGGCTCCCACGTTCTTTCTGAGTACCCCCACCAAGAGACAAGATACTCGAAGGCGGTCCCGTGCCCGCGTTTGTTCTTTGATGGCCGCACTTGGAGGATCTCGTCGACAATGTATCGCTTCTCCACGCTCACGGCTGCTTCCCTGGGTCGCCACTGCTGCCTTCGCTTCGATCCCCAGGCTTCCGGAAGAGCAGGCACGGGCGGAAGACCCGCTGACGATGGACTGAATAGCGCCCTGAGCCCGGTGCGGCTGCCGATACCCTTGATCATGGGATGTGCCTTTCGGGCATACTTGTCCACCTCACACACAGCATGCTCGAAATCCGCAACGTCAAGCTCGTGCTCGTCGCCGAAAGGATCTCGTAGGAACGAGAACTGGAGTCCGCGCGATCGAAACTGTTCTCGTTGATTCTCCACCATCCATCGCAGAATGTCCGATTCAATGTCCGGCACCTGGCCTCTAGCTCTCTTCAGACTGGATCCAAACATTTTCGTCAGACCAGACAAAGCGCCAGGGCCAGCAACCACGAAATCGTTTGCCGAGAAGTCGAGGAGCTCGGAATAGGAAAGGGCGAGGAAGAGCTGGTATGCGCTGAATGCCGCCATCCCAGGGTACGCGGCGATGGTCTCATAGACGTCGGCAGCATAGCAAGCATTGGCTAGCGACTTGGGGAGTTCGTCCATGAGGATCTGGAGCAACTGGAGATGTCGCATATGGTTTGCCTTGTATTCAATCTGCACCCCGATTTTCATGTACGCGCCCGTGAAAAGCGTCGTCCCAGCAGCGCTCAAGACTGCGTCATACTTGTGCAGATCGAATTCCGTCCAGACAAGCCTTCCACCAAAAGCGGCGAGGAGTAGCTGCCACGTCTCGATCTTGTTGAAGCAGTTGAAGAGCAGGATACGGAAGAGCGTTTCCGTTCGGTCAGGGGAGCCCTTCTCGATGACATCCGTGACGACGAATTGAGAGGTTCGGTCGAGCACGCGATAGGCATTGCAGAACTTGTACTTTTGCAGTATCTGGTCTTCTGTCCACCTGCAGGCGCAGGCGACAGTTTCAGACACGCGTTTTTTTAGCAGAAGACTTTTGATTGTACTCACGGTGCAGATCCGCCCGCTCGACGTCTGTCATCGACAGATTTCCTCTCGGACAGCCATACCCACAAGGTGTCGAACACCGCTGTCGTCTTCAACCGCTGCCCCGCAACTTCAATGGAAGTCCCATGCCCCAGCAACGACGTGCTTTTTGACTTCCTCTTCAGACGACGAGGTTGCGGGGTCGAGTCGGGATCCATTGGTGGTGTTGGTGACTCATGGCGGCAGGCGGAACGTGTGGATGTTGAGAGCTCGGTCGTTGAATCATGAAGTGGCCGGGTGTCGATCACATCCAGATGTGTACAGTGATCATGATGGTTGGTGAGTGTTGTGAGCTGTGGTGCAGAGGATTTCAGCTCTGCACGAGTTGGGAAATGACGGATTGCAGGCATGGCAAAAATGGCCTGGCTATGGTTATGCACTCCTTATGCTTGAGGGTAACAGCAAAGCAGGCAGTAGCAAGTGCTTTTTAAGTGCTAATTTGCGTTGCAGCACTACGCTCTTGGATTTAACAACTGTAAGGGCAACCTCAAGGGGTTCACCTGACAACACCCTGAATAGATGTGTATGAACATGTTGTGAAACACACAGACCACAGTAGTAGTGATTCAAAAAACCCGAGCGCGTAATGAAAGTGAAAGCAAGAAAGAAAAAGAAACTAGACAAAGACAAAGAAATTTGCCGTCAGATGGCTTTCTCACGCCGCTAGCGATGATTTACGTTCCACGAGGCATATACATACATACTCAAAGACAAAATGAGAATATTGATATTTCTGCTTGAAAACCGTGCTGTCAGAATGGGAAATTGAGTGTAGGGGTGCGAAACTGGTTTGATGGGGGCTTTCATCCGCTCCGTCGTGAGTCGACCCAGATGCAAGTCGTCGACTGCCAGAGTATAGGGTCCCGACCAAGACAAGCGCTAAGCGTGATATACAAAAGTCCTCGAGAAGAGATCGAGTCAAACGAAACAGATAGAATTTGGGAGAGCAACGGCGTTTCAAGCGCATGGAAAAGACCAACAGGACACGACGGGTCGGAGCAGACGTTTGCGTGAGAAGTGTTCTTGCGAGTCTCTGCGAGGGATGAGGCCATGACGGGTGAGGGCCGGCGTGCCGGTGATGAGGGAAGAAAAGATATATCGAACAAGTGGTAGAATGACTTTATTGCTGGGTCGATATTCGCAGCGCAAACATCAGGCCGCCTGCCTGCTTGATCCAGAGACGTCGATTTGGGGCGTTTGTGAGTTGGCGGTCTTGAGCAAGAGGTGTGAGACGGATGCGTCGAGCAGCGCCGCTGATAGACCAGTTCCGTGACGATGACCCACGGTGAATTCCCAATGCTCAACAGCCAGCTTGATGCCGAAGCCGTCTCAGTCTTCTCAGTCTTTTCATTTCTTCCACAAAAAAGACAGAGGGATGTCATCAGATACCGACGGACTGCACTGTGCCCTGCCAGCGTGAGCGAGTAATGGAACGTCATCGTCGGGATTTTGATGATGGGAGAAGCGATAGAAAATCTGGGGAGCGGCACCGTACATAACATGGAAGAGGATGAATCTCTCACTTTTCGTCCTATGGCCTGGGTGTCCAGGTGAAGATGTATCCAGTCAATTCTCAATAGCAATCACGAGAGTTTCACCGCCACACGGCACCTGCACTGCACGTGATCTAACGCGCCTTGTCCTTGTCGACGTCCCGTTCTGCATTCTCTATTCTTGTGTCGAATCCACCTTCCCCTCGGGCTTCCTTTTCTCTTTCAACAACGTGGAATAGTGACCCGTCGGGCCAGATGGAGACTATCAGCCGCCTCCGGGTCCTGCTCATGCGTGCCTTCGCCGGCGAAGGGGGCGAGGAAGTGATGGACGAGTTGATGGCACACAAGACGTGTCTCCTGAACCTGTTTGAAGTAGGTGGGAGGAGCGCTGCGGAGCAGAAAGAGCTAGAGGGCGGTGAGTTGGTCTGCGATCGTGTTGTGTGTTCTTGTTCCCGTTCTGCCCAAGTTTTGGGTCTGAAGTTGAACTGCGCATGGGCCGCCTCGTTTCGTGCGGCTCTGTTTTGATCGGAGGACGAATCTTTGGCTCCACCTGGAAAGACGCGGACGAAACGTTGTCTGGTATCTACGCGGGCAAATTGGTTGTGTGCGCTACATTGTGAAATCTCTCACCGCGCTGGACCCCGTTCTGGCTTTCTTCGACTCGAATATTCATTTATTCGATGTCTCTGGCTCTTCATTTCTGATTACCCCGCGTTTCGATCTACAGCTTATCTCGTACAGGCAAAACAACATTACCTTCCGGCCATACTCTGAGCGTCAATGCCGACTTCACGCGCCAGGCCCTCTTCGTCTCCCAGCAGCTGGAAGTTTCGGAACGCTACATCGCAGGTATTCTACACGCGCTGACTGTCTCCTCACCGCACCTGCATACCCAGCCTGTCCAGTGCGTGGAGGGCGCAATCGACGAGTACCATCTGCGCCGACGGCACCTTGCTGATTCGCTTGTGTACCTGCTGCAGGCGACCGAGGCCGTTTCCCGAGGGGAGGCAGAGGGAAATATCATCTTTCAGCGCGCGGCGGAGTTTGTATACTTCGATCTATTTTCAACGGAGGGTGGATTGGCACCCAAGATCATAAAAGAGCTGCAGAATCTTGGGGTCCTGGTGGCTAAAGCAGAAGCCGCAAAGAAAAATGCGAGAACTGGAACCATCCCCCCAACCGGGCAGAGTGTGTGCTTTCTTTTTTCAGTGCGATCACGCGCTTACAGGATCGATGCAGCTGGAGTTGTCCCCGCGCTCGGGGCCACCGTCTTCCAGGGACATTCCGAATCTCTGCAATACGAACGACGGCAGCTCGGGGCTACCCTTCCACTTCTGGCCCGTCTCGGATTGCTCAGCTCTGCAGACGTCGAAGCAATCGTGCAATGGCTCGTGGGCAACCCTAACCAACCTTTGACATTCTATCTGCTGACAGCTGTCTTCAACGCACTGGACCCAGTGGACCCAGAATACGAACCCGATACGAAACGGGCTGGACTGGCCACCCAAATGGTGGCATGGATGACAAGGAAATTGTCGCCGACAAACCAGGAATGGAAAGAAGCAGGCCTCAAATCCGCAGTGCTGCTAAAGTGGACATTGTTTGTAACCGACGCTCGACATCGCAGTCCGGATCTGGAAACCAAGGCCGGATTCAAGACCGAGGAACTGGAAACACAGATTTGGAATGCAATCCAGGGAGATGCGCTAACGTATTTGCTGATGGCGCTGGCACAGCTGTATCGATCCTCCCCTCTTCTGCCCTCCATTGTGCGCTCTCTTCCGCCACTGAACACAGAGCAGACTGAGTGGCGGGAACTTCCGGCACCCGAATTTCTCCAGAGCGTATACGATGCGTTCGAGGTGCTCGTCCGGAGTCTGATCCTGCATGCGTCATCTGAGCTGCGCAAAATCAAACAGCGGCAGGAGGACATCGTATTAGCGTCGAGGGGGCAACAACCACAGCAGGCGCCGGCAAGAAGCGACATCGCAGTTCTCTATTCGTTCATTGGGCTCTTGTATACTGCGCTGCCAGCAGAAAGGGCGCTGCAATTCTGGGGCTCGACGCCACATACTTCTACCCCAACATACATGGAACTGGTCGAATCGAGCACTGGTCGGCTACCCGCATTTCTTCAGTGGGCAGTGTGGTCGGCCCAGCCACATTACATGGCATTGTACGATATGTTGGCTGGGCTGGCCAACGGCACCCAATGTGCAGAGCTCGCGCACAACTTCATGGCTCGCGGAAGCGGCGAAGTCATTCCGGGCTCGTCGGTGGGCGGCGGACAAAGCGTGTCGTGGGGCATGGTGTTTGGGATCCTGGAGTCTTGGGCACAGCCAGGGACACGTCCGCCGCCATCCCATCAGCAAGCGAACCAATTCCAGCAATCGGCGCCGTCGGTACCCGCCCAGATCGCGCCCCACGATGTGTTGCTCGCCCAGTCATTCTTGCGGCTTCTGGCCGCGGTGGCATCGCATTCTGTTGCTGTGCGGAAAGCAATAGCCGGACACGCCGGGTTCCGGGCCATTCCAACGCTGCTGAGCCTGATCCCTCAAGGCGTGCCTCTCGAACTCAAAGGCGCCATCTTCGACACGGTGGCGGCATTTTGCCGCCCGGCGCCAGGTGCCGGGGCTGTTGGTGCCGAGATATGCCGCAGTGTGTGGATATTGATGGAGCGACTGGAGGTTATCAATGTTCGCGGCGGTGGCCCGGGCAAGGGCGTCGAGGTCGAGTTGGACGAGGTCGAGGCTGTGCACCGCGTCTACCCCGCCACCATTCCGTTTTTGCGGCTATTGGCGACGCTGATCCACACGCCCAAACGCATTCCGTTGCGCGAGAGGACGCTGGATGTCGCCTATGCTTCAGTCTCTGGAAGCAAAGCGCCGTTCGTCGCGTTCGTTGTCGACAACGTCTTTGCGAATATCCCACGCAGGGAATATGCCGTACCTGCTGACCGCTGGGAGATCAACGACTTGTGTCTGACTTTTGTCGAGCGATGTTTGGCCAGTTTCGATGTGGAGAGTCTGACTCTAAACAGCACTGCGGAGAATGTCCTGGCGCTGCTGATGCATCCCGGCTACGATCTCCTCGCGCGGCTGCTCACTCCGAATACAGCGTTCCACAAATCCGTCATGTCATATGTGCTTGAGGGTCTGCCTGGTTTCGACCGAGCGTTTGACGAGGAGGAGCCCTTTTTCGCAAGCACCATCGTTCGGGTGATGCGCATTGTGCTGAGGGTGCTCGAAGCTCAGGATGTATTCCTGGACGTCCTGGTCCCCCTTATCCAGCAACTCGATCCATCTACTCTCAGTGGCCATGCTGTGCATCCCAGATCGCACTACACCCGACTCGACACAGCCATCGGATACACGGACAATGTCGCCCCTGCGCTCGCTGCATACGTCACCACGTTCCACAGCCACGTCGAACTGGCCCTGTTGTCCGTCAAAACACTGGCTATTCTCGCCAAACCGCTGGGAGGCGGGGTCATCGAGAGGAGCGACGAGTCGGATCGGATCATGGCTGGTATGTTGTTGCGCGACGACTCTGCGTTCTGCTGTTTCATTGACACCCTATGTACAGGCTACACTGCGATTCTCGACAACACGGAATCCGTCGAAGACCCTCTGGAAGCCGAATCCACCGCAGACAAGTACACCGGTGCAGGAGCCGAGGATCCATCGCTCGCTCATGAAGCGGCGCTCCAGCAAGCAACGCGGCTGGCGGTTCTGCAGCTGTTCGTGCGCAACACGGACAGTCGCGCGTCGTACCCAAATCTCGCCCACTTCTTGCTGTTCGGAAGCCCCAACAATAAAGAGGGCATCCAGGACCCCCATGCGCTGGGCTCGTCACGGACATGCATCCATTCTCTGTTGGATCTCGTCAACGAGGGTGTCCCTCGACTGAATGCTGCCAACGACGATGAACGAGACGACGACGGTATATCGGGGCCTCCGCTGTTCCAATCCCTTCCCTCGCTGGCGGAACCAATGTACCACGTGCTCTACCAGCTGTGTGTGCATCCGCGCACGTCCGAGTTTGTCATGCGGTACCTGCGGACCAGAGAAGGTTTCTTTGCGCGCCAAGTGGCAGGTGTTCCTTGTCTCGTCCCTTCCATTGGCGACGAAGACGAAGACAACGAAGACGGCGACGAATCTGGGACAATTCAGGTCATGTACACAGACGGATCGCGCGTGCTGACCACGGTGCCGCAGTTGACGTCGTTTTTGCGGCTACGAAGCTGGATATTCGATCTTGTGTCCACCGAGATGCACGTGTTGTCCGGCAAAACGCGATGGAAAGGCGTCGACGATGTGCTGGGCGTGCTGTTCGGTGTCCAGAGCTCATCCGCCGTCTTCGCCGATCTCGCGCAAACGTCACTGCGACTGATCGAGTTCGGCCTGAGCCTGTCGTTCGACTGGGCCGACTCCCTGAGCGTGCAGCCGCTCGAGCTGCGTTACCTCGTGTCGTTGCCCTTGAATACGTGTGTGCGGCTCGACGCCGACGGGTGCGAGATCGTGGACCGGAGCGCGCTACTTCTACTGCTGGCCGCTGCGCGCAGACAGCTGACGCAAAACCAGATTCAGACAGAAAAGCAGCTGGCGGAGCTGCACGCGGAGATCACGTACATCCTCGAGTCCTGCGCGGTCGAGAACCACCGGCGGCAGGTGGCGCATGCGCGAGTCGCTTCGTACGATGCTTGGAAGCGGCTGCTGGATGTCGTGCTCCTCAAGTGTTTCGACCGGGTCCCCGCGGACCGCCGGGAGCCGATTCTGCTCGAGGTCCTCGGGACGCTGTTGAAACAAATCGCCACAGTCGATGACGATCAGAGCAGTATCTTGCTCAGCGAGGCAGTCGTGACGTGTGTGACGCGCCTGCGCGACGAACGGCGCGTGCAGGTTCTCCACGGCCGGCGGGGAATGCCGGTGGACCGGCTGGCTGCGATTCTGAAGACGATCCTGGAGTGCGTGGCGGACAATGTGGAGCTGGTGCGCGGCAACCTCTATGCCGCAGCCGGGCTGGTTGTCGGTGACGGCGAGTTGGTGTCTCTTGGGGACTCCCTGTCGCATGTAGATCGCCTGGTCAGCACCATCGCTCGCGACGCGATCGACGGGTCGGAGATCTGGCAGACTGTTGCGTTCATGCTCCTCGACTCTCTGCTGCGGCTGACATCACATACGCCGATCCTGACGCCTCTGTCCAAGTACGGTATCCTCAGCAACTTTGTGCGCGGGCTGCGAGATTCCGATGGCCGGCTGGGCGATATATTGAAGCCAGACCCGGATGATCTGAACGCACTGTATGTCTATGAAGCGAAGATGAGCTTGTTCATCCGGGTGGCGATGACCAGGGCTGGGGCTGAGCGCTTGGTCGAGGCCGGGGTTGTATCTGTTTTGGCTGGGTGTGACTATGTCGACAAGCGGCCGGACGGGGATGTCAGTTTCGTCGGTGAGTCCGTATTCATCGAGCCTTTTCACATTCTCATAGACACAGACGCGAGCACCTTCCTTCCTTCTGCGACGCACCGATATCATCAACTGTTGCTCCCCGCACTCCAATTGGTCTGCGCGATCGTGGCCACTCTGGGAACAAAACACAGCACGGCCTCGAGCGAGGCGCGCGAGTTCCTTGCTGGCCACAGCGCGAGTGTAGTCATTCTCCTCAAGTCTGACGAATCCGAGCTCGACGGGCTTGCGGTCGTCGAGCAAATGCGACTTCTTGTGTGGCTGTGCGCAGGGCTACTGCCTGGTGTCCCAAAATCTGAGCTCGTGCGTGGTCTGATTTGTTTTCCCTGTCATGTCGCGCTGACACCACTGGTGCACAGCTCTCGCCGCATTCTGGGTTCGGGGCAATCCACGGAGCAATCCTCAGTCTGGCTGCAAAGAGCCTCGGCGGGCGATCGCTGCTGGCGGGTGTGACACCGCAGACGGACGCGGAACTGCTGGTCGTCTCCCAGTCGCCTTCGAAGTTCGACGCGCTGAAGCGCCAGAAAGAACGCGTTCTGCGGAGGAGCATAGTGGAGTACCTGGGCTCAGCGAGCGAGTTCACCGAGGCTGAGATTGTGCCGGTCCTGTCGCCTGTCGTGGTTGTGCCCAGGGGAGATAATCAAACCCGGTTCATTGGTACGTGTCTGCCTGCGTCTCTGAGACCAATCTAATGTAATATTTGCATCGACAGCAACGCTCCCCACCATCGGTGATGCCATTTCGGCGCTCTCCTCTCTAGCAACGGACCTCGCTGCAGCCCTGCGCCAGATCGCAGCGCTGTCCGCTGAGCTCAGCGCCCCCGATCACGTGCGCATCGACCACGACATCCCCGGGTCCTCGGGGCTCGACATTCCACAAAAACGGGCGCTCGTCTGTCGCGCGCTCGAGACCGAGCGCAAGAGCCGGGAGACGGACGCGGCTGTGCTCAACGGGACGGCGGAGATGATGCTGCTGATGCTGTGGCGGCACATCGCGCTGTTCGTGTCCCCCTCGCCCTCCCCGTCTCAGCTGGCACCGCCGCCCGACCCCGAGTCGTTCAAGACTGATGTCGGGGCACGCCTCGGGCCGGTGTTAGCCGGTCTGCAGGCGCTGGAGCTGGGTAAAGACGGGAAGCTGTATGTTGACATCATGGCGAGGCGGCTCAGAGATTGCACGGGCCTCGGCGGAGAAGACCACGAGATCATGCAGATGTGATGTGATGCTGTGTATTGATACTCGTTCTGTTCTTGCGGTGCTATATTTACTATTTTCGACATGTGGGGAAGGAAGATGTGTTCCCCCACCCCGCGCGCGAGTGATGGCCTCGGCGCTCGCAGCAGGAGCAGGACGCCGAAAGAGTCACAGGCGCCGGCGGGGTCCCTTGTGTCCCGATATCAGCAGACCACGTCCCTATCTCGCCCTCTTCGAGGATTCGGTCCCCGAGATTGCAAGCGGTCTAGAAATTCTGCGACCAGCAGGCGATGGATTGGGCACACCAGATCCGAGTAGATCCGACCCACGCCACGAGGCTGGCTGGCTGGCTGGCAGCTTGCGCAGTCGTCTTTCGGGGCTGATGTTCCTTATTGCAACAGTTGCACCATGCTGCAAGACACGCAGCATCGCAACTGGGTTTATCACATTTACGTGTGCGGTGAGGAATCAAATCGAGTGAATGCAGTTGCAGGTTGACGACGTGTTGTTACATTCTTTGTTGTATGGTAATGGTATAATAAAATGAATGAATGAGAATGCGGCAAGTAGGGCGTTTCCGGAACGAGAAACGGTGCGTAGGTTAAGGATAAGTAAGGGGATAGGAATAAGAAGGAGAAGGAGAAGAATGGAACTGTGCAAGTGGACTGGTCCGGTCAGAACCCGCCCAGACACCCCCCTTCCTCGTCTCTGAAGCTCGCACCAGTCAGCGACCGGCAGAGCGATGACACCGAGGCCCGGTCCCTGGCCTTCCTCTCTCTCCTTTCCTTCTTCTCTTTGATCTTGGAAGAGTCGAAAGAAAGGTCCCTTGGCGCGTCACCTAGCACGGCACACTCGGTTGAACGAGAGGCGGACGGAGACTCGGGCTTCTCGCGAAAGTAGCCCGCGTGCGAGTATGTCCCAGGGAGGTCCTCCTCTTCGTACCCATCATCCTCCAGCTGTGCGCGCGACCGCGGATGGGGAGTCCGTGAGCGACGCGGCGACCGCCTGCGTCTCCGTTCAGAGGGCGGAGACGACGACACCGGATCAGCGGTGATTGGCGGCTGTGAGTGATTATAGCCGGGGAAGGGCGCCGAAGGGGGTGGCATCCCGAATAACGGGTATGAGTACTTTTGAGCGCCTGCGTAACCATCAGTACACATCGCAACGTAAAAGCTAGAAAGCCCGCACCCATACCAGCGAATCCGACCAGATCTGGCGAAGGACTCGTGAACCCGTCGCTTTCGTCACTCTCCGAGCTCAGGTCAGGGATCAATGGAGGAGGCTGGGACGAAGGATACGGCGCATATGGGAAAGATGGGAGGCACTTGTAAGAAGCCGGAGATGCGGGTGCGGTGTACATAGGAAACGAGGTCGGGGGCTGCGGTATTGGCGGTTGGACGGGTAGTGCTATGTAAGGACTTGTTCGGGTGGGCGTCCGCTCGGGGTCGCTCTCCTCCTCCTCCTGGCCCTCAGTCCGGCAGGTCAAGGCACGCGGGTGAAATGACCGACCCTGGCAGTGCGCGTTTGGTCCAGGAGCAGTGGGCTTCTTGGTTGGCTTGCCGTCGTAATATGTTCGTCCGGGACAACCACGGGCGGGAAGAGCACAGGCATTTGGAGTCACGACAATGGGTGAGCGATCATACGCGGCAGAGGAATGCACGCTGAAGATACGCGTCAACGATGGGGATGGGGGAAAGTGGACTGTCGGGGGATGTTGTGGATGGGGCCCGAAGACGGGTGAAGTGGGTGAGCGTTTGAGGATCGGATGGGCGGGGGATGGTATCATCGCGCGGGACGATGGCTGAGAAGGGAGAAGAGATGTGTCGATAGGCCTGGGTGTATGGATAGCGACTTCGCCGGTGATGTTCCCGACGGGTAGGGTCTTGGAGGCCTTTGTAGCCTTAAGATTCGTAGGTGGGGACGGTGGAATCTGAGGCAAAGATGGAAAGGCCAAGAGGACCGGAGCAGCGCCCAGGGCTATAGCGAACGAGGTATACAGGTCATGGTGGTAGCAAGAAAACCAGTTTTGTATTTGTTTCCTTCTGTGACCGATGCCCGTTCGGATCACGCTGTCAACTGCCGTTTGCATCGCAATCCGGTTCCCATTCGGGATCAAGCCTGTGGGCTTGGTCCCGTTTCATATCCCATCCAATCCCTTACCAAGAACGGACCCCTGCTGGTCACCGTCGACCGCACGATCCGACACCCCTCTGTCGCTGCCCGACGCGTCGCCAACGCTCTGCCGCAGGCTCGTCTTTGTCTGTTTGCCGGCGTAAATCGCGCACCTGTGCTCCGGCCAGCGCTCGGTGGCGTCTGCATGTGCTCAGATGTGCAGATTCCCCTCATCCCATCACACACACAGACCTACACACCTCCATTCAGTGACTCTTCTATCCCCGTGCCTTTTTTATCATCACAGTCTTCTCCATGACGCTTCTTATTCCAAAAAGGAAAGCGCCTCACAAAGGCTTCGTCTCGTCCCCGAGTTTACGCACGCTGCCTGCAGGGCTTGGCAGCCTTGGCTGCGCTATCTTCGCTTTGTGAAGCACCTCCGCTATAACTGCTTCGCGGGTCGGCGTTTCAGAGTGCGAGGACAGCATTTGCGGATAGCTCTCATCGCACCATACATGCCATCTCGGACCGAATCTTTCACCGGAGGTAACTGATGGATATGACAGAATGTCTAGACTGGCAGACAGAATGCATGGGGGTATCGAATGCGTGGGGTATAAACAAGATACTCTGACGTCGGCCTTCCTATGCGTTACACGAAAGACTCGAGGCTGATCCTGGGCCTAAGCTTGCCCTGCTCGAAATCCCATCGATCTCGTCGAGATGGCGAGAGATTCTGCAGGATCCGGATCATAGTCGCTTCTTTCTGACCTAGTCCATCGCAGAATAGCCTAATCTGGAGGATCACGCTGGCCGCACTCAGTCTCTTCTCCGAGTCCTGAGCCCAGCACTCGTTGACCAACTCCCACATGGGGTCCGTCATTTCTTCGGATCCATTCGAGGGTCGCTGCGGCCGCTCGCCGTTGATGACCCGCAGCAGAGCTTCCGGCTCCTTGAGAGACGAGAAGGGCGGTTTGCCCGTGTAGAGCTGGATGCGATCAGCCACCTGACAAGATTAGCTCGAATCTTCGCACCTCGAGACAGACACATGCGAACGCAAACATGTCCGTCGAGCACGTGCGCTGGAATTTCACACCGAATAGATCCGGATACAACAGCTCTGGAGCCATCCATCGAGCACTCCCAGGTCGATTCGTCGTGTCGTTCGTGGCTGAAGTCGCATCGGAAAAACAGGTCAGGCCGAAATCGGCCAAACATGCGGTCCAGCTCGCATCAATCAAGACGTTGGCCTGTCCAAGTCATCAGCCATCCGGAACCGGACGAAGGGTGGACAGGCACACTCCACGAAGATCGCCGTGAATGATGTTTTGTTCGTGAAGATATTCGAGTCCTCGTGCGATGTCGAGCAGCTGCATACAATGAGCTCTATTTCGAGCGATCTGGCTCTGACTCACAAGCTTATTCACACTACCCCGACCGTATTCTTCCAGATGCTTCAGAACTGTGCCGTTCTGCATCCAAGGCGAAATGAGACAGAGGGAATACGGAAACGTCTCCTGGTCGATCCCGATGAGAGGGAGAATGTTGGGATGCTGGAGATGCTGCCAGACCAATGCCTCGCGGCAGAATTGCTGGACTTGGGTCAGCCACCGGTCCGGCCTGCCTAGATAACGAACCCACCAAGCGCAACCGGCGCTGCTCTGCATCTCGGAGGAAGGTCCGCAAATGTTTGACAGCGACTTTGGTCTCCTGGAATTGAGCCTGATATATGTCCCCAAAACCGCCGCCGAAAGACGGATACGAGTCCCGGTCCGAGATGCCTGTGATAAACAAAGACGACGGAAGACGATCGCATGATTCTGAGAGTTTGATGATGAATCTTCGCGCCTTGCTGTTTTGGCTGCTGGCTAAAAGTCCTCTATCAAGCACCTGAAAAGTAGTCGGTGCTGCATGCTGATAGTCGTGTCTAGGTGACGTACATTCTGAACCGCATCTAGAAAACACTGGGCTTGGTCGCCTTCGAGCGCCAAAACGGCCAAGCGACGAGAGTCTGAATGCAAAATGCCGGAGACATGTCTAGCCAACTTGTATTCGTGTTCTTCTAGAGCTGTGCGTAGTGACTGGCGTTTTCCGTCATCAGTGTTCCCATCCTTGAAGCTCTTTCGGATCATGAAGCGACTGGATCAAGCGGACTGGATCAAACCTGCCTTCAAAATGAGGTCACGAGTGATGCGACTCTCCAAGACAGCGACCACCGCCTCATCATAGCCCGAAAGATTCCAAGTCGATCGGCGTTTTGCATCTGGCATCTCGTTCTGACGAAGACAATCTGTTCACATGGTTCGAGGGGCAACTTGGAAGAAATAGATGTACAACACACTTTGAGCTGGAGAGGATGCCGACCGCATGCGACCAGTACGCTGCTGAGCTTGGAATGGGATTTCTTTGCTTGCGTCGCTAGCAGGAGGTGTTTTGACTATGGCTCCTCCCAGTTCGGAGACAGACAGAGCAGAAATAGGCGTCTCCGGAATGTCTTCAACGATAGGAGCAATCTCATCCAGCCGTTCGACGATCTGGAAAGATGACTGCGGCTTCCAAGCTTCAGGTAAACCCTGCCACGATGAGTGATGCCTGCTGCCAAAAACGACAAGTCCCGTACCTCGAAGACGCCCCGCGTTGAATCGAAACGAACGTGGATGTTGTGTACAAAGCTGCTGGGACGGCCGACATTGATGAAGGGAAGGCGAATGTATATGTCGTCTTGCCAGGCTAAGCTTTCCGTCGGTATAGGAACTGTGATACTACGAAGGAAGATTCGCACCATCAAGTTCCTCCCCAGTCTGAAAGGACAGCCAGATCGAATTTTGATGTTTCAGCTCGAGCAATAAGCAGAATGCCTTCAATTTGCTTCGTCTCATATCCTTGACGTCGAGTAGGGGTATCACTTTGCTGAGCTTTCGATCGGAAGTCTGGTCAAGGCCTTAGGTAAGGATAGGCGGGAAATGAGCAGGTACTTACATTCGATTTTCGAAACTCCAGAGAGGTTTTCCCGAGGACCAACCACCGCGACCGCCAAAACCATCCGCGGGCTGTCAGCATTCCATCTTTCTTGACAATCACAGGTCCCTCTCTGACCACCAAGTGGTCCTCAGAGGTGTCGTTGTGTTCAGAATAAGCAGACTCGGTGTCAGATGTGTCGGAAAGAGGTGACAGGGTTGTGCTCATGTAGGGAGAGCGTGAAAGCTGTTGGGCGTTGATGGATGACAGAAATCGTGTTGCTGTGTTGGACACGCGGGAGACGACTCAACGGCCGCCTCGAGATCCGCATTCTTCCGGGCCCGTGGGTTTGACATGCCTAACCATCGTTAAGATGGATCCATTGACGTAAGTAGGCATTGAAAATCAGGCAGAGTGACGAATGCAATAGAATTGAGAACGAGTGTGTATGCGTTCAGACTGAAGTGAAGTGTCGGATCACACAGCCACCATCATGGTGCGCATTGCGCAGCATTCTTGAACAAGGCTGTTACCTGGCTCCGACTTCACAGTATTCTCCAGTCTATCTGTTATGGCTCCTGCTCCCACAACCACCGAACAGTCTTTCCGGGCCAACCTCTCGCAATTTCGTTGGGCGCGTGGAGTTACGGATGACTCCCAGCAAACACAGGCATCACAGGCTAACAGCGGTGGCAACCCATTCTCACGTTTCTACAACGCCATTGGCGCGGGAGACTACATTCCTCTTAGATCGAGTGAGAGGTCGAATGAAGAGGAGGCGTGGTTTGCTCTGTCGCGGTGGGAGCGGTGCGTGTAGTCGGGCGCGTTGGCGGCGCAACTCATGTGCCTGCTAGGTTACTTGGATTCGGAGGCTGTTTAGTTGGGGCTGCCGTATGCTTCTTCGTCGCTTTCTTGACTCTGCCTTTCCTCGTACTTCCTGGCCGGTATGCCCACTTACTTTTGATTCGGACGTCCGAGACTAACCTCCTTCCAGTCCGAGGAAGTTCGCACTGTCGTTCAGCCTAGGCAGCTTGCTTGTCATGTTTGGGTCTGTTCAGATGGCTCATATGCATCTCTCTTGCTCATGTGATTGTAGATTCTCGGTTCTTATTGGACCCTTGAACCACCTGAAACACCTTGTCACCGCTGAGCGCTTGCCCTTCACCCTCGTCTATTTCTCCAGTCTTGGGTTAACCCTTTACTTTGCCCTTGGTGTGAGCAACCTATCCGTTTCCGTACCAGGCGTGAACTGATTGTTCCATCAGCCACAGTCATATGTCGGTTCGTTCGTGGCATCTGTCGTACAAGTCTTCGCACTTGTATCATATGTGTTAGCGTATTTCCCTGGAGGCTCGGCGACATTGAGACTGGCAGGCTCGACTGCTATCCGTGGCGCATCTAGCCTGTTGCCCCGGTGAAGAGCTCACGAGAGCCTGATTAACCATCGTCTTCCACTCAGTCATACCATGTATACTTATTTCAAAGTCTTCCAATCATCTCCACATTCCCCGAAGGGTGAATCCAGAACGACTTAGGAACGTGAATGTCCATGTCAGAGCTGAAACCAAGATCATGGACTGACCCTAGATAAGATCTCAGATTAGATTGACCATGCTTCACGTGCTTCTTTGATTGAGCTCATCACGTGGAAATAGGCAGTCAGTAAATTCGTGTAATCAAGAGCGTCCAGATCTCTGCAGACTCCGACAACTCTCACAATGGTGAGTCCTCGATTCTGCATCTGAAGCGCTGCGCGCTGCTTCAACGGACTTTTCGCTCTACTGATACACTCCGTAGACCAAGAAAAGAAGAAATGGCGGCCGCAACAAGAAGGGTCGTGGCCACACCACCTTCATGCGTTGCTCGAACTGCTCGCGTTGTGTCGCGAAGGACAAGGCCATCAAGCGTTTCACTGTGAGGAACATGGTCGAGAGCGCAGCCGTGCGGGATATCAGCGACGCCAGCGTCTACCCTGGTCCGTGTGCTCGATTAGTCCTGCTGCCTCTCTCTGATGTACTAAACTTACCATTTCAGAATACGTTCTCCCTAAATTGTACAACAAAATTGCGTATTGTGTCTCGTGCGCCATTCACGCACACAGTGAGTGTCTATTCTGTTGTCAAGTTCCATCGCTCATGCATCGTCTCAGTCGTCCGTGTCCGTTCGCGTGAGGGCCGCAGGAACCGTGCTCCGCCCCCTCGTGTCCGATGGAAGGATGGCAAGAAAGTGAACCCCGCTGTAGCTGCTGCTGAGGACGCCAAGTTTGCTGCGAACAAAGCATAGGTGTAGGAAATCAAATATGCCTTCCTTTCGCTCGTTCCATGCAATCCATCCGTAACTTTCATCGCATTGTATGCCTCGGAGCCGGATTGCTTGACCAGGGTGGTCGTCCTTACAATTATTACTTGGCGTCATCGTGGTCTTGGCGCTGTGTATGTAATCGTGAGCCAAAAACTTTCTGGCTCGATTCATAGACCAGGACCGAAACTACCCTGTGGGGCTCATTTAATGCGCACAATGCCCTAGCTTGCAACGCTAGCCTCAAAATTCAGTTCAACTAGTTTCATTTCTCTATCTCTACTTATGGAAGTGATGTCTTATGATGGAAAGATTTCTTGACGGCAGTGCGCCGCCTTCCGCCGCCTTTCGCTTTCCGTTGTCTTCGTCGGCGACGTGAGACCCGCACGTCAAGGAGTCGAATGTAAACTCTTACGGGGATGTGAGCGAATTTCGCTATGGCTTGACGCCCGATAGTTGTCTCTGTTTACTCGCGTGTATTGTGTGTGGTGCAAGAACATCTGCTTACCTCTCGCCTCAACCTGCTATGGCCAAACCCCTCCTCTAGACTGTTCCATCTTGGAGCGATACGCCGGCTTCCAAGCTTCAATTTCAGACCGGAATCCGCATCGTGAATTCATCTCCCTTGATCGCCGCACATCACCCACGATTATATCCACGACCATGTCGCGCACCCCCAGTGTGCCTTTACCGCCCCCAGAATCCGCCTCGTTCGAAAAGCAGCCGGGCCACACGCGTCAGGATCTACTTAATCACGCGAAGGGGACCGAGGAGTTCCTGGAAAGAAGTACAAAACCGCCATCTGACAAATCGAAATCGGCCGCTCCCTCCATGAACGCCAGCCCCAACCCATCCGCCCACCTTACAGTTCCGGGCTCTACGCCAAATACGCCAGCCTCTCCCCCTGCTCCGGTAAAGCGCGCTGCCAGTGCGTCGGCCCCTTCAACCCCCGCTACGCCATCTCGGCCACCGTCTCGGGCGGCGTCCGTAGTGTCCGAAACATCCCACAAGTTCAATTTGAAGGATCTGTTGGGCTCGGGCCCCAAGCTTTCCCGTCGTAATAGTGCCCGCAGCGCGAGCTCCCGCCAGAGTGCAGACAGCGAAAGCGAGGTCAGCCATAAGAGTGGAGCGGGGGTCTCTCGAGCCAAGAGCACTCGCAGTGCGGGTGGAGACTCCGTGGGGTCATTATCGAGCAAATACGGTGTGGTCAAGAAGGTGCGTTCTCCTTCCCCATGCCTCAGTACGCCGTGGCCAACGCAGACCTCGCGTAGATTGCCATCGGGAAGGGCGCCACGTCCGTCGTTCGATTAGCTCACAAGTGGGATCGATCTGAGGGTGACAAGATGTATGCGGTGAAAGTGTGTGTGCTCATGTTCCGGTTAGTCGCATATCTGACTTTCGTAGGAATTCCGCAAGCGACGACGCAACGAGACGGAAAAAGAATATGTTAAGAAGCTTACCGCCGAGTTTTGCATTAGTTCCACTCTCCACCATTCGAATATCGTTGAGACGGTGGACCTTATCCAAGACGAGCAAGGGCGATGGTGCGAAGTCATGGAGGTGCGTCAAGGCATTTTAAAGACTGCACGATACTGAGAGACTTGCTTCAGTTCTGTCCTGGTGGTGACTTATATGCTGCCATCAAGAAAGGTGGTATGTCACCGAGTGAGGTGAGTTGAGCTTTGTCTCTGCACGCTGATCTCACCCGTTTTTCAGGTTGAATGCTGTTTCAAACAGATCCTTTTGGGGGTCGGTTATCTTCACTCGCAAGGCGTCGCACACCGTGATTTGAAACCGGAAAATCTGTTTTTCGATGCAGCGGGACACCTGAAAGTGGGTGCTACTACTCTGATTTGAGACCCGTCTCACAGGGATGTGCCAGATCGGAGACTATGGTGCTTCGACGGTGTATCGACTGCCTTGGGAAGCGACGATCCACATGTCAACAGGATTATGCGGCAGTGAGCCCTATATCGCACCAGAACAGTTCTTGGGGAAGCGTGAGTGACGCGTCCAGTTGTTGGACATGGACTAATCTGGTGCTGTCTGGATGATAGCTTACGACGCGCGCATGGTTGATATCTGGGCCTGTGGAATCGTGTATTATTGCTTGCACTTTCAAGAGCTGCCTTGGCGCGCTGCGCAGCAGACCGATGAATTGTATGCATCTTACGCATCTGCAGCTGCAGCTACACCCCCTCCTCCTCTCGCTACCGCGAGCTCTGCCACAGGTCCCAATGCTCCTGTGGACCGAGATCGAAATCACACAAACTCTGCATTGGTCTTCCCTCCTACCATCAGCAATCTGTCGCCGAGGGCTTGCAGGCCACTCATTCGGAAGATGTTAGAGCCAGATCCCAAGCAACGATGCTCAATCGAGGACGTTCTGGGCTGCGCGTGGATGCATTCCGTTGAGATCTGTTGGCAGGTGGGAGACCAGGCTAAACACGTTCATGTCAACGCACGGGCCATGACGGCTGCTGTGCTTGGCCAGGCTACGGCAGATAGGTAGTATAGTACATTACTGTAATACACATTGAACTTGTAAACACATGAATGATCCACTACGCCCTTGATCCCAATGGAGCAAGTGATCATTGCGGAAGAGTAATTGACCAAATCTGAGGTGGCGAGTCAACGGGGGCAAAGCAAGCGAATGGAGCCCACGCACCTGGTTGGTGTTCCCGGACGTGCAGGCCCAGAGCTGGATCTTAAAGGCAGTTCAAGCTTGGCGTATCGCAACGCGGAGAAACACTAACGCCGTTGCCATCCTCCAAGCTCCCGTCTACAAGATCCAGACACTTGGACGAATCCCTGTTCCAATGGATTATGTCGGTGGGCTGGATAAGCACTTTGCCACCGGAGTTGTGCGTAAATTGCTGATTAGAGTTGCTGTTGGCAGCAGCACACGCCCAGACTTGCAGGCGGACTCCGTTGATGTCAGACCCACCGGTTACGTCAAGACACATATTGCCGATGTGGATATTCGCGTCCGTGAAGGTCCAGATTTGGTTCTTGGTGAGCGTTCCGCCGGTGAAGTCACAGGTCTAGGTAATCGAAGGTCATTTGTGCAACCGCCACTAGAGGTAAATGGGAGCGACCTGGATGACGACTGGTGCTCCATTGGAAGCGGCACTCATTGTGATGCACTTGAGCTGGTTGTCCGCGGTCAGTTGCGGATACACCAGACGGTAGCTGCCTGCTGAAGGGAGCGTTGTCGGACATGCTGCGTTGCTGTCCGGAGGGATGATTGTCTCGTTGACTGGAGGTACGTTCGGAGCATGTGTGAGCCCGAACGTTGTCGCATTCTGCGTGACTCGGTCATCGTGTGCACGAACGCAAAGGTGCCGCGTCTCACATAGAAACAAAACTGCGGCGAAGCGAACGCGTGCGAGTACCTGTTGAGCACAATCGATTTAGAGTTCCGCACTTGCACCTGCACTAGAACCGAAACAACGCACGCGCATTCGATGTATGCGCCATTCCGGAATCCTGCAGACAGCGGGAAGCCAAGCCCATTGATGGGCAGGGGATCCAAGCACGCGCGCAGAGCAGAAGCACCGCAGATGAAAGCCGAAAGAGCGGAAAAGCAGACCGACGACTTGGAAAGTTGCATGGCAGGTGAGGTAGAGTATGCGCTCCTTGCCGCCTCACCTCTTACTTATACACACGTCCTTGTGGCACGCTTCTCGAATGCGTTAGTGCGAGGGAACAGCTCAGACTCACCCCGGTTTATGAATTCTGATGCCTATCAGTACGCATTTCATTTGGAGGCGCACAATACAGCATAGAAAGTCAGTGAACGTCCAGGACGTCCGAGTCCGATTCATTCCTGAGACCGAATTGGCCCCTTTTGACTTGTGCGTATGTGACAAAGAGCCAAAATTCGATGGTAACACAGAAGCAGGAGATTCTTCGGCCGTGAACACAGCCCAGCAAGCGCACGGTCAAACACGATCGCAGCCTAGGGCTCGCTGCCTGAGATGTTCAGGCGCACGAATTCATGCGTCACGTGATCATCAGACTGATGCTCCAACCGAGTCCCCGCCATCACGGGGCTGCAATGGGTTTCAGCCGTAACCTGACCTGCGCTGGCTTGGTTAACACAAACAGAGCGCTGAGACACGAAGGATCTCGATCCTACGTTCTGCTAGTCCTGTCCCCATGATGATGATCAAAGATGCTCCCGATCTTGTGCCTGTGCTTGTCGCTCAATGTCAAAAATCCCCTTCCGCAACAGTTCTGTAACCTACTGGAACATGTGCGTGGGATGACTAGCAGATGAGGGGTCTCCGAAACTGTATGTGCCTCGGAAATAACCTTGGTGGCTGCCCGACCCGTATGTCGCGGCCTGAACAATCACCGAAACACGTCGTGAACCGTGTTCGTATGATGTCCCCGCATTAACATCTCGACGCGCTGATCATTCCCAGCCTGACGCTCGTCGGAAGCCGGTCCAGATGTGACGACGTCTCTTTCCTTCCTTCCTCTGGTCATTCTTACTTTGCTTTGGCTCCGCGCACCTTGCACCGTGCGCATGTATGCCGCTCGTCATTGTGGACGACCAGTCCTCTGTGATAAAATACCCGAGCGGAGTCTGGACGGGCGGAGGATCAAAGTACGATTATGAGCACACGACGTCGTCGTCCCACGCTGCTGGAGCTACGATGGTCTTTCCCTTCACTGGTGTGTTCCCCACCTGACACGCTCTGTGTCGCGCCGCGAACGTGTAATCAATCCCTGAAGGCTCCTCTATCTCTGTTGTGGGTGATTACGATGCGAATGTATCATGCTCGGGCACCTTCTCCCTCGACGGGAATCAGACAAACTTCGTTTCGCCAGTGCTTCCGCAGCCGCTCTACCACCAGACCATCTGGTCCGCTGCCTCCCTGGACGACACCGCACACACACTCACGTACACTCTCGGCTCTTGCGCGAATTCTCCCGGGACTGGATATGTTTGGTTCGACCACATCCTGTACACGCCATCTGCCAACGCCTCGACGGGCGGAGTTATCTACTTTGTCGACGATGGGGACTCCAGTATCGTTTATTCGGGCAATTGGACTCTCGAGACGAACAGTGATGTGGACTTTGGACGGGCAAGCCATGTTGGACAGAAGGGGTGTTCATTTCAGATGGATTTTGAAGGTGTGCCGCGGGCGTCTCTGCCTGACTCCTGCCTGATTTTCGGGGATAGGCACCTATGTTGCTGTGTACGGTCGAGTAGGTAACGATTCCATCGGAGTCGCTACTCAGGCCTCGTTTTCGATTGATGGAGCGACCCCGATCGCATTCTCTGCGCCGTACCAGACCACAGTCGCATTCAATCAGCCCCTATTGAAGTCGCCTTCTCTTAGTCCTGGGAAGCACACACTCGTTAGCAACATCCAGTAAGTGCCTGAGCATCTCATGGGTTAAGTCAAGCTGACAGAGAAAGGTCTGGGACAGTATGGGTCGATTACCTCCTGTTGCAGCCCGATCCGTCTGTCGACTCCGTGACGGTCCCGTCTCACCACGGCCCTTCAAATGTAGGAAAGATCGCCGGCATCGCTGGCGGAGCCTTTGCCCTGATTCTCTGTCTGAGCCTCCTCGCACTGTTCCGGCAACGTCTTTTTGGAGCAAAATCCAGGAGGCACACGACGCCACCAGCCAATCCGACCGACGCAATCCCCATGCTCTACCCCTCTCCGCCCGTTTCCGCATACTCGGGTTCTTCAGTACGATACCCCCCAACGATCAGCTCAGCATCCTCCTCCGACATCACGAATCCATTCAAAACACCTACTCCCACAGTGATATTTTCCGACTCTCGTTCTCCTTCTGCTCTTAGTGGGAGCCGGTCTACCACGCGCAGTCCTTCCTTTGGTTTTGCATCGTCATCGGGCCATTCCCGAAGAGCGCCAAGCTTGGGAGGGGACTCTGCCTCTGTCGCTGATCTGAAACACAGACAGCATCAGCAAACAGCCACTGCCTTGATGGCACCACCTTATCCAGCAGCTGCAGAATCACCTTCCGGGTCATCATACAGACCACTGCCTCAACCACCGAGCGCGAGTTCTAGCACCCGCGCCAGTAGCTCGGTCTACCACGACGAAATGGACCTTCCCCCAGTTTACACCGCACAATAATACTGTTTGTAATTCACATCTTATCTATCAGTTAGATCATGGGTATCCCGATCCCTCGTCAGTTGCTCGAGAGCAGAACATCGTAATGGCCCGGTCTGCCGTGTTTGAATCAGTGGACTGACGGTGGAGCTACCACTTCCACGTGCCTGAATAGCAACAGAATAGGCGGCAAGTCCTTGTCCATGGCGTCCTCCGGTGCAATCACCGTGAACACATCAGACTCTTGCACCGGACCCTGCAAGTGGCTGTTCAGTGTCGCAAGCTTCAGGGTAATCTTGAGAGCGTTGCAAAGACCCATGATCGCCAGGTGGTCTACATGAAATGAGACCCTGACCATGTAACCAAAAATACCGCACCTGCTTCAGAGTCTACGGCCTCGACCTGAGATTGACAGAAGGCGATGATGTCTTGGTCGAAGATGAAGTCCCGATACGGCTCAGGCCGAGTCCGGATCTCAGCCGACTGAAAAAGGGCCTTCAGCACGGCGTATTAAATCCCGCAGCCAAGCGCGCACAGCAACAAGACGGAAGAAGTACGACACATAGTCGGAAACTGGCCAACGAGTATCAGCGCAGCTCCAACGTGGTGGCGCCGGAAATACCTTCCAGAAGGCGCGTCAGCAGGTCCTCCGTGGTCAACGCGGCCCCGAAATCTTCGATAGTCTTCATCAGCTCATCAAGCTGCCCAGAAAACTCCTTGTAGATCTCGTCTTCAAAAGCCAGCGTCAGCGAGATCTCGTTGGAGTGCAGTACGTCGCGGAAACGCGCGACAGTGCCGGGGATGTCTGCAGCATGGAGCAAGCGGTCGAGGTAGCAGAATGCCAAGGCTGTCTAGACACATTGAGCGGGAGTTCCGGGGTGGAGCGCGCTACTTCACATCGATAGAAGCAGTTGCCGTCACCTGCGGGCATGAGACGTGCAACACGAAGCGTGCTTGTTTGCAAACCACGTACGAGCGGCGCGGCGGAACTTGGTGTACCCGTGCTCTTGGAGCCAGTCGATCTGGCGCACGACGCTCTGTGATCCTTCCAGATATTCCATTCTCAGTTCGGTCAAGGGAGTAATCTCTGCGATGAGCTTGGTCCGCGACGATGTGTCGTTGAGCATTTTCTGTGCGGAGTCTATCACACCCGCACACTGAGTCGTCTTTGGGTGGCAAATACCTCAGTCAGCTGTGCAATCTCCGCCGCGCTGAGAGAGGACAAGGCTTATGTGGGCTGGGTGTAGGTCATGTCCAACTGCCCCACGACAGATGCACGCACGGGTATTTTCATCGATTTCACGTGGAGCAGCGGGGGTAGATGCAGATTCGTCCATTTCTGGAAGTTCAGAGCTGCGCAATCTCGCTGTATGTAGAGTGCCTGTCAGGCGGATTCGGATGCGACGATGTAGGTGGCTGACGAGTGGCAGGGGCTTGTGAGTTTCCAGTCAAGGTGGACTCTGTCGGATTCATATCGGATGATAGCTTTCGCGTTATATGTTATCGACTCTCTCTCAAGGATGATCGTGGCAAGAAGGCAAAGTAGATGATTGTGGGCTTTCAAAACACAGCCACAGACACCTTGGTGATCTTTCGGACTTGTCCCAGTACTTGGCGCTTGCGTAAAGCTTGTTTTGATCCAATACGCGTCATATAGTTCAGATGCCCTGATTTTTTGGAAATTGAGCGTCTCCATTTGGCTCTGGATGGATTGCGAACAGCTATGAGATTCCCACCCTGGTCACACGCCTAAACATTCACATTGCTTGAGACAAATGGGTTGAAAGTCCAGCTCCACGTTTCATTTGATACTTGGCCTGGGCATGGGTCCGGAGTCGGTGCATAGTAGACACATCGGGCCATGTAACTGAACGTTACTGCTCTGTATCTTCCAGTGCAGGGATGATCGAACCGATCATTCTTTAATCGCCTCCACGTGACCCAGATCCATGACAGTCACCAGTGACGCGTGCGCATGTCACGTTCCGTCCCTTCCCCTCATTCCATTGATCGCTAATTTACCCGGCTTCTGTGACCCCACCGCTTCCACACGCCTCCGTTAGTTGGGCGCTTCAGCGTGCCAGTCAAATTCAGCTCTCCGATATGGCGGGTAAATCAAGCGCTCGCGATGGAAGTGGCAAGCATGCGCTCCGTCAGCGGATGCACATCTTGGACCGCGCGAGCCGCTCTCTCATCGCCGGCGAGCCGAGCAGGAGTGGCAAGGCGCATGAAGTGCCTGAAAATCATGCAGAAGAGCTGCGTTCTCTACCGTCCCCGCCTACCTCCTTTGCGTACGACGACATGGAGGAAGAGGACGAGGACGACTATGAGGACGAAGGGAGCGAACACCATCACCAGCATGGTTCCGGAGAAGCGGGGGGCTACACACATCGTCCTACCTCCGATGAACTGACGGAAACTGGCGCAGATGCAGAAAGGGAACACGATGATGATGACAGCTCCAGACCCTGGTATCGACCCTCTCTTCCGGTTGTACTCGCGTTGGTACCTGCTGTGGGAAACTGGTTCACTGGCGGTGACCATATCAAGGACATTCTGGTTTTCCTTCTTCTCATATTTTATCTTCACCAAGTCATAGAGGGTCTGTTCCTTCTCTCGCACGATCGATCGGGCAGGGCTGACATACGTCTGGCACAGTTCCATGGAGACTTTACCGGAGTGCCCGTCCTCGGCGGTCTCCTTCTCCTCACACTTCGGCGGCTCCTTCGCGCATTGCCGCCCAGGCCAATACCGAGCTCAGAATGCTTGAGTTTCTGCTGCTCATCGTCTGTGTTGCTGTCCCTGTGGCGGGTGTCTACATCCTTCGCTCTTTCTCGATTCTCTTCAAAACCGATGACGAAAGCGGTCCTACTCAACCGATTTCTTGGTTCTCTACGACTCTCTTTGCACTGGCTACCGCCCTACGACCATTGAGCGAACTCGTGTCCCGCATCACCCAACGCACGAGCACATTGCATGCGCGCGTTCACGCCCACACTGCACCCGTTGGCCCAGACCCAGCGTTAGCTCTGGAGTTGTCGGATCTCAAGGCGCAGGTGGCCCGGTTGGAGGCTGTGATCGTGCGCATGAGTCAGCGTGATGCCGAGCTGTATGCCTTCGTCGAGGACGCATTGCAGCCTCTCGAGAAGAATGTAAGACGGATGGAACGCAGGGTGGGGAAACTGCGCGCAGCAGAACAGCAGAGAAAGGACACGAATGGGGCGGCGGGTTCTACGCCCAAAACCATCTTTGTCTCCGCTCCCGCGCAAAATACTCGCCCGTTTTCTCTGGCCTGGTTGTTCTCGTCTCCTCCTCCCCTCGTCTCAGCCATCCCTGTGCCGTCGTCGCTCAAGTCCCCATCGCTCCCGCATCGTCGCCTACTTGAAGTCATCCCAGAAGAGGGCGAAGATCATATTCCCTCTTTGCCCCAGCCAATGCTTACTTCGCAGTCGCTTGGGTCTTTAATTCTGATGCTGGCCACTCGATGGGCCTCCGCTCTGTTCGGTTTGCTGGTACTCCCTGTGACACTAACGTTATGGCCAATCAGAGCCGCATTGCGCACTGCCGCCCATTCGTAAATCGTGATACACGCACCCACACCCTCGTTTTCACTCTTGTGCATCCAAAAGCCTGTCTTTTTCTTTTGTCTCGGAACTCTGTATTTATACTGTACCTGGTTAATACTACTATTACTTGTGACCGATGTCGGCATTTCCCGAAAACTTGATGCAGTTTTGATGGTGATTACTTTCAGCTTGCGAACCTCAGACAACAGAAGCAAGCGAAACGGCAACTTGCAACAGCACTCCTAGGCTCTATGATCGCCCGCGCAGCCTCATCGTTCGCTTTCGAGTGCGTGGCTCATCTGCCGTCTGATCACAAGTTGTCTGTAGTTTGAAAGACATCCTCGTTCAGAGAGTATAGCAGTGTGATTTCGTTGTAACAGACTCCAATGGCTTCAGAATACAAAGCTTAAAATACATCGTCCATGGTCTTCTCGTGATATTAGTGCCAATTTATGACCTTACAGTACAGGGTATTTCCTGATCAGGGTGGAACCTGTGGCCACATTCACCAGAGCGATGCCGCGAACGCTCAGGGGTTCCCACGACCGCTCGAGCCCAGCGGTCGACTGCCGATAACGTCGTAGGTCTTGCCATGTCTGTTCATGGGTGGCGGGGCTGCGCGGTCTCTGCACACGAACGGACGATAAATCTATTGCAAGAGCCACATCGTCAGGACCTAACTTACCCGTCCACGTCGAAATGGGTGCCCCGCTTAGGATCTGCCCGCCGTTTCTCGACGGACTTCTTCGTCTTGCGCTCGGGTCGCACGACGATGATGGGGACAGGTGAGTGTGTTAGACAGTATCTGGGCATGGGTTCAGCAAGCAGTGGGAGGATGCTAGCCAGGGGAAGACACGCACTTGCTGACGCTGCCCATCCCGCCTTTCCCTCGTAGCACCATGCCTTGCCACGCCTTCTTGCTGTGCGTGCCGACGACGACACTATCCGGGCGGTACAAGGCTATCAGCCGATCGATAGTCTCGGTCACCCTGCCCGGAATGAATTCCACGATGATTGAAAGCTAAAACGTATAAGCCGGGCAAGGCATGGCTCGCGATAGGATGATACCGACTTTGCGATCGGGGTCGTATTCAACGCTCTTAGCCTGAACTTGCATGAGAAGTTGCCGCGCCTCCTCGCGGATGGGGTCGTGGTCCTTCTCTGGAATTTGAATACGTTAGAGATCGCTTCCCGGGCATCGTGACTGATATTGTACCGAACACGTCCTCCTGGATCCCGCGGCACACGACCAGCTCGTCACCATCCTGCACGAGCGCCTCCAGCGACCAGTCCAGCGCCTCTTTTCCGCTCTCGTCGGGTCCCGCAGCGCACAGAAACACGCGCGTGTGGCGGTTCCTCACATACCCCGCCGTCTTGACTTGCAGTGTAAACGAGAACATGGACGCGACGGGGTTCTCGAATGTGTCGAAAGAGACTTTCGGGGTGTAGCCCGGCGCTACGGCGGGCGGCACGACATTTGGGGGATGCGGAGAGAGCGATGGAAGGGGCGGGGACATGAACACAGGAGAACTGGGATCTCCGGAGGAGGGTGAAGGAGAGCGGCTGGTGACATGCTTCAGAACTGAGCGGAGCCCCGCTGAAGAGTCGCGATGGGAGGCATAGAGCGGCGGGGCGTGTAGCGGTTGTTCGGACATTAGTGAGTAGCTTCGAGTGGTGGTGGTATCTGCAGAGATGTAACACAGCCGTTGGCGGAGATTTAATTTTGTCCGTGCACTGGGCCGGCTGAGACCCACGCTGAATCTGGATTGCTCTCATCACTCGGTTCCGAATCCTCCATCACCCTTGTCTGTGCTATCCTCCCATACTTACCCACTTTTTCTTTATCTTCCCCTCCTTAGATTCACGATTTTCGGACTCGGTCATGGCAAAGAACAAAAAAGTGAAGGAGAAAGAGAAAGAAAAGGAGAAGGAGAAGGAGAAACCAAGGCTCGAAGAGGTACCGGAGGAAGTGGAAGAACCCGAGGAAGAGTTCCATGACTACAGCGCCGAGGAGGAGGGGGCATTAGGTGCATACTGATGCTGTAATAACTCGCGATCGCCATCTCATTCGATCTCAGGATACGGCGAATACGATGGCTGGAACGCGACAGGTGCTAGCATCAAACCACCCGCGCAGGACATGGGCGTTCCGGGCGGGTGGGGCGCGGCCGAACCGGGCTGGGAGCAGGCATCACCCGAGTGGGGCACAGGCGCTGTCTCCGCAGGCGCAGCGCCCATCCCGCCGCCTGCTGCCACACACGCGCCGATCCCACCACCCGCTCAAATGAATCCACCAATTCCGCCCCCAGCCCAACTGCATCCGCCCTATCCCGTCGCCGCACACGCGGCAGCGATTCCCGCGACTAACAGGGCACCCCCAATACCGTCTGCTAAGAACCCAGCCCCGCCATCCAAGGGCCATCAGAAGGTCGCGGCCAAGGGCTGGGAGGGTTGGGGTGCGGAAGCGGGCGGCCAAAATTGGGGTTCCGGAGCTGCAGAATGGGGCGCCGGCGGTGGCGCCCCTCCTCCCAGTCCACAGCCAGCTGTGGCCAGTGGATGGGCCCGAGCGGCTGAAGCTCAGTGGAAGACCGCCCCTCCACTCGCCGCGTCGGCTCCAAAACAGTGGTCCGTGCCGACGGTTCCCGCTGCTGCCGCCGCACCGAAGACAGGCCACTGGACAACGTGGGGTGAAGAGTTGAAGCGATTACCAAAATCGACTTCCATGGGAGCTTCCGCTTCCGCTTTTATGCCCGCTCCCGCTGCTTATCCGGGTGCTGCCCCCGTGAACAAGCAGCAACAAAACCAGATGCTCTACGCGCAGGCGCAGTCTGAGATGATGAAGGGAATGTTCAGCCACCCTGGACGCGACGGCCGCGCGGTGGCGTTTGAGGAGCCCAGGTCGAGCCCCCACCAACAGCCGTATCCTGGATTGTACGCGCAGTCTCAGCCGCAGTCCAAGAAGAACAAGCAGAAGAACGATGGCTGGGGAGCACCCACTGAAGCGGCTGGGGGATGGGGTGCAGAAGGCGCTTGGGGAGACGGCGGCGGCGGCGGCGGCGGCGGCAGCAGCGGGGGTTGGGGAACTAGTGGTGGTGGTGGTTGGGGCGATGCTGGTGGCGGCGGTGATTGGGGCGGCAACGATTCAGGAGGCTGGGGCGCCAAAGAAACTCCCCATGGCCTAGGGTCCAAAGCTGCCGCGTGGGGTAACGAAGTTGGTGGCGGGTGGGGGAAGCAGACGGGTGGAGAATGGGGAAACGAAACCAATGCGGGATGGGGAAACGAAGCTGGTGCAGGATGGGGAAAGGAAACTGGTGGAGGATATGGCGGTACGGGAGCGAACGACTGGGGCGGCGGAGGCGGAGGCGGTGGAGGCTGGGGCAACGGCGGCGGCGATGACGACTGGGGCGACGAGGAATACGAAAGTGAATACACCGAGTCTTCCGAAGAGGACGACGATCGAAACGGAATGCATTTCAGCAAGCCGTCATCGAATCTCTGGGGCGGGCACCAACGCGACTCGACGTATCAAATGCCCTCGAAAACGCTGGCACACGCCTACAAAGGCACGGCGACGCCCCTGTTCACAGGCTTGCCTCGAAACAAGATCAGCGAAGGGACGGACATTCGTTTCATCGATTCAAAAGGGGCGGCACTAAAACCCGTGGAACAAGCCATCTTCGGGCGAACGCGATACGCGCGAGATCGGATCCACTGGATGTTCTCGCCTCAGAAGGATGAGCGCGTTGCCTCGCTGCTGTCCTGGATCGAAGTCGTGTCGTACCGCCTCGCAGCGTATGGGGTAAAGCGTCTCGTTACACGAATATTGTGTGCATTGGTGACGTTTTGCCAGCTGCACCGCTTCCTGCAGAGTCGCGAGCGGGGTGCACTGCTCGTCAGCGCCGAATACAGGCCAATCAACCACCCTCAAGAGCCGGCGTTCGACTGGTTGACGTTCGACCAACTGCAGGCGTCGAAGGACAAGATTCTGCAAGAGTCGGTGGCCTTTTACGATCCTGCCGTAAGTGCCTTCACGTCCTGGGATGCCGCCCACGAGCGCTCCGCTGACGGTCATGGCAGGTGATCTGCGTCGTTTTCGTCTATCTGCCCTCGAAGAGCGGCAACAGCGTCGCGATGTGGCGCCGCAAGATCAGAATCGGCAACGAGACGCGCGCGACGCGGATAAACGAGATCAAGCTGGCAATGGCTGGGCTGCGGAAACAAAAGGACTATGTCGTGCACGTGGACGAGTCGGTGACCCGCTCTCCCGAGACTTCAGCGTCTGACGCGGCCAGCAGACTACCTCCTGGTCATAAGAAAGCTGCGAATTCTGGTAAAGCAGCTGCGACGAAAGCTACGAAAGCTACGAAAAAGCAGGCAGGCTACTCCAGCTCTGCCCGTCCTTATGCCCCTTACGAACCTGCCTCCGCGAAGAAACCCAAGAAGCGGAAATGGTGGCAGTTTTTCTGATACCTCTTGTTTTGATGGTTGCTTTTTTGTATTGTGGTTATCTCCTGCTATCTGTGTAAAATCTAGATGTATTCTTGTAGTCGCTTTGTGTAAATCTGTAAATGACTGATGCAGACGAATGAACAAATTGATGATTTGAACGTTTTTCGTGACGAACAACTCAGACGGAATAAAAGGTGGATTCCACTATGTGTGTATTCGATAACCGGCACCATTATACATGAGGCAACCTAATTGCCTTGCTTGTCAAGGCTTCTCCAGACCCTTAATTACGTAAAATCACAAAAATTTGATGAACCTGATCCGGCCTCTGATCCGTTCTGATCAATCTTGCCAACACACATCTGCATGTTAGCTGTGCATGCAAATTCAACGTTTGTGACTGGCTTTGCTCCCACCTTTTTGCGGTATCAAGGCAAATATGTGGTCGATTGTCTTTGTGTGTATGATTATGAGGGCAGAATTATTGCACCGGAGGATTACATGAAAAAGCTCCCCAGTGCTTCTGTTGCGGTCACTTTCACTATGACCCACTACTTGTTCACAAGCCAGAAAGAGGACACGTTTGTTGCAGACATTGTCAAGATATGCGTCATTGAGTCTCAGATTGCACTGCTGCCCAGCCTGAAGAAGTGTTGGCCAGTTGTACCTAATATGGATGATAGCCCAAAGAAGAAAAGGACAAGGGCTGCTGGGGCTTAGTTATGACCAATATCTTTGTTGATATCACTGTGATCCTTGTGTCAAATAATTGTTAGGGTTATCTTTTTCATTGTGCCAAGTAGCAAGGCATTCTGTCGGCAGAGCCGACACTTTCTAGTTATGATATTCGTACATTCATTGATACATTCATTGATGGCCCCTTCCCTTTACTGATTCCAGACCGTCACGGTCGCCGCGAAGCCGTTCGGGTTCGACGCCTGGTCGACGACGCCGACCTGGTTGACGCTCAGCTGATACGTCGTGCCCACCGTCGACAGGCTGTAGATGTGCACCGCCGTCGAGGCCGAGTCAACGTTCACGATCTGCGCCTGGCAGTTCTGCGGCGTCAGACACTGCTGCTGGTAGTTGTTGAAGAAGTTGTACAGCCCCGCGCCGTACACGAGGATGTCCGACGAGGACGTGATGCGCAGCGCCCACGCCGAGCCTGACCACGACGAGGGGTCCTTGAAGGCGGCGTTCACCGAGAATGGAGCGGGTGGCGCAGGCGACGGCTGGAAGTATGGCTGTGCGTCTCTGTCAGCATTGTGTGACACTACCTCAGGCATCATTGCGCACCGATTCTGTTTGGATCAAGCCAAGGTAATGGTTCTTGGCCTTGACGAGATTGTACTGGTAGAGGACGTGGTGTTCAGACGCTGAAAGCACTGTCAGATAACCACCCGGTCCAGAATGCGTCAGAAGCTCACATGTTCCAATCATCCAAACAGGACCAGCGGATTCGGACAGAATTCCACGACCGGAGAAAATTGAGATCTGAGACTGCGCGGCCGTATCGAGATCATGATCCGCTAGCCAGACCCAAGTACCCTAAGGATAATTCAGTTGGAGTCAAGTCGCAAACGTGAAAGCGAGGACATACCTCGAGATAAGCAGACGAGGACGATGTGAGATGAAGTCCAGCAAACGCAGCCATGCAGTTAGCCGTGCCGCCGGTGCCGCTACTCGGACAGTTGCCGGCCTGGAGGTTGGTGCCGATAGCTGCGAACGTTTCAAAGTCAGAATGGGACAAATGAGCGACGAAGGGACGACTACGGACCTCCTCCCAAGCGGATGTGCGAGTCCCACATTCCCGCCGAACCCTGGCTCGATTGCGCGATATTCCATTCGACGACGATGGCTCCGCCAGCCGGCCCGATGGTGACGAATACGATGTCGGAGATCTCCATGACACCAGTGGATCCCGGTGCGCCGACTTGCACGACCGCGCGGGGGTTGTTTACGTCCTGGAACGCAGACCCACGTCCGGCGATAACCGACCACGCTTCACCCACGACCTGCGATCCGGCGGGAATGACGAGCGTCGAAGTCACGACGTAGGTCCCAGCGTCGAAGAAGATGATCTTGCAGCCAGCGTACTGTTCGGAATCCAGTCAGCATTCCCCTCACTGTCATATCTTATCCGATCGATGGCGTACTGTAGCAAAGATCGCGTTCAGCGCAGCCGTGTCGTCCGTGTTCCCATCGCCTTTCGCGCCGTGGTCGCGCACGCTCACGATCTGCGACACCGCGTAGTTCGCGTACTGCGGGTGCATGCGCCCGAAGATCTTGCCGCTGCCATCGAGCAGCGAGCCCGGCTTGCGCGGCGCGGCAATCGGGCCCTGCGTGAAGTTCCCCGCGCCGTTGGTGCCGGTGTAGACGTTGCCCTGTGCCCAGGACGCGACGGTGGTCGACCCGGAGGATCCCGCGAGCACGACGGCCCCGCCGGCGACGCCGACGGCGGTCGGGACGTTGTTGAGCTTGATGTTGTTCAGGACCAGCGAGCCGCCGAGACGCCCGTTGCTGGCGGTCGAGGTGCGGACGAAGATCGGGGTGTTGGAGATCGTGCCGTCAATGATCGCCTCGGCGCCGACCGTCTGGGCAGAACTGCCACCCCCGGTGGCAACGTCGAAGCCGACCTGGCAGTTGTTGAAGGTCACGCCTTGGAATGTCCAGCCCTGGGTCGATGAGCGACGTGCTCAGTCGTTGAATAGGCACATACCCAGTTCCAGAGGGCATAGACGGCGGTCTGAGCATTGTTGACAGTTATGTTTCGGACGGTGAATCTTGGAGATGGCTTAGTCCTGCAGTCGCAGATGGGAGCCATGGCACATACTGTTGGTTCCCGACCCACAGCCCAAACTTTCCTCCGTTGAAGACCAAGTCGCCCATGAATCCGCCACTGCCATTCTCCATCCAGATTCCTGGCAGGACTCTTCAGAACCCAATGCGAAAGCGATCGAATAAGACATACCCTGGTGAGCGGTATTCGGCGCCGATGACATATTGATGACGATGTTCATCAGCGACGTGGCTTGGGCCACTTGCCAGTGGATCCCGGTTCCCTGGGACAGGGTCGCCGGCACACGCGTCACATCGATCACAAAGTTGCGAACACTCCTGAAGCTGGGCCCGGGCATCGGTACCTGAAAGTTCCAAGAAGGGACTAGATCGACTCACAAGTTGTTCTGGTTGGTGTACCATTGCGAGCCAAAGCCGTTGGGGATGTAGGGGTCGGCATCTGCAGCATCAGGTTAGATCCAAGGCGGTACTGCAATGCCAGCTAGAACCCACCGATGACCGCAATGTCAGAGAAATTACCAGCTGCGAGCAAGGTCGGAGGGTGCCTCGCGTCGCCGATCAGCTGTGTGTAGTAGTACGCAATTATCGCCTTGGATACGAGATAGGTTCTGCGTGTACGTGTTAATCGATCAGGCAGCACAATCGCCACTTCAGCACGACGCACCCAGATGGGAAGAAGACGAGAGCCGGAGAGACTCTGCAATCACACGACGAATGAGACGGATCGTATGTCTGCGACCAGAAGCACGCACGTAGAAGAGCCGCAGGATCCTCCACCACATCGATTGCCAGACGCGATGGCGTTGCTGTGACGGCATTGAGCGAGCATTCACTGGGGGATCAGAAAAAAAAACTAACTTGATGGCAATAGTATCGTCGGTGACGCCGTCGCCGCGAGCGCCAAAGTCCTTCACGTTACGATAGACTTGATATGTGGAAGGGCTAGGTCAAGAGGCTCAGTGAGAGCTGCCGATCGGCCGTCCAAAAACTCACTTGGGATTGTAGGCAGAGATTCCTTGATGTTTGATATTTTGCAGCCAGTATGGGTCACCGGCAGCAGCGCTGAGCAAAAGGACGATCAGCCCTCCGTGGAACCAACGAGCAGAGATCGACTCACGTCCCTGGACCGAGCGGGGCAGAGCAAGACGATCCGAGAGCATGTGCGACAGAAGCGATCGACAGAAGGTAGGCAAGAAAGAGCATCTCTGCAGTGTTGGCCAAACGACTCTGTGTTGCTGCTTTCTCTTGACCAAAATACCTCTCGGCTTATATACCCTCCAGCATGCGTCATTGCCAAGTTTCCTTTTCTGCGCGCGATGGTTCAACATCATCGCACGAGACACGGACATGCTCCGTTCTGGACATCGTCTTCCAAAGCCTGGCGTGCAAAATGAGCGTGCACGGCCTCGAGATCCGACGGGCAGTCAGGTGAAACCTCGCCGGGCACTAGACAACGCATAGGACCGGGCCTCGGGATCAGGTGCTAGTTGATACGGACAGAAGGCCCATCGATGGACGCAGGCACTGTAGCAGAAGCAGCAGAACCAGTTCGTTTCAGGGCTGGATAGGGTAAAACGAGACCTCTTCTCAAAATGTCGTAGGCTGCGTGACGCCGCCGTGATGGACTATAATGAAAGATGAGATGGATGTCGGCATCGACAAAAATGAAATCGGCACTTGGCAAGACACAGGTCGAAGGGGAGCAAATCACGAGCGTGCCTCGTTGCACGCTCGACGCGCTTCTAGCGTAGGGCTCCACCGGAAGGCGTGTGGGCCAAGCAGCCGGATTCTCTATCCGCCGATGCCAGGCCGTGACTCGACCACACCCGTGACCGAGAGCACGTCACGGTGTTTACGCGGTGTTTACGCGTTCTGTAAACCGGCACACCACGGCCACTTGTTCGTCGCGAAAACCCGATGCCGGGCCCGTCCAACTCCAAGCGAAAGGGGAAAAGAAACCCGAGGGTGCATGCGAAACCGCGCCTGTCGCTAGAAAGCACCTCCTCCGCCACGACCAGCGACTCTCGGCTCGAGGTCCGAACGCCATCCCCCGTCGACCCGCTCGTGCACGACCGGGAGCCTGTCTTCCACATGGATGGCAACGAGGAGCATGTCTTCGCGCCCCCGCTTCTTCCCCAAAAGCCCTTCATACACGACCCCGGTAACGGCCATCGCGTCCGCGACACCCGCGCGTTCTTGACGTCCTTCTTCGCGCAACCGCCTGCCTGGGACGACCCATTATGTGCCGAGTTCGCGCAGGACGAGATTCTCGAGATGCTGTGCACCGTGCTACCGGAAGAGACCGCGTTGGTATGTAGATTCCCGGCGTGAGTATACCGCAGAACTGACTATCGGCGGCAAGTAGATCTTGTGGTATAACAAGAGCAGGTACGCACGGAAGTCGACTACAGCAGGTCGTGTGCTTACGAGGAATGAAGGTCCACCAGTCGGATATGCCCCGCTTGCCAACGACTATACCGTCTGGGAGACATCTTACCCGGCCACACGGACTCGGATGTCGAGGAAGACCCATCGGAACAACCTCCGCTACCCCAGCTTGAGCGCGAGCAGGAGATTAGTGGGCTTTGTCAGTGGTCTATCTCCGTTTGCTATCAAGGCACTGATAATAGCCTGAGGCTCCACTGTTTGTTTCGTTCTCGCCTCGTACAATTATCCCGGGGCCATAAAGTCAGCATGGGGCCACCTCGCAGAAGACATGGACGAGGGAGCGTGGACGCTCTTGAACAGCGCAGGGAAGGGAGCCGTCGACTCGCAGGTCAGCTTGGGGCTCGGCATGCTCGTGCGCATGACCCGGTTGCAAGACCTCGGACTGGCGCAGTTGTGTGTCCCCGAGATGGAATTTGATGACGACGACGATATGACAGCGATGAACCACGTATAACGGACGCGTAATATTGCATTGCATTACTTGTATATCTTGCCCACCGCATCTTCAACCAAAAACTTGGTATACAACCTGTGCAGGAAAGCGATCGGCTCCGGCATCTTCGCGTCACTCTTGCCCTCGCCCTGGAAGAACACACACGTGAACTCGAATTCAGCCACGCCCTCGTCCGGCTTCACGGTCGCGGTGAGCTCGATGATCCCATCCGTGGTGCGGACGCCGTGAATGCGTGGAGAGTCACCACAGCGTAAGCCTATGGAGTTTGGTTCGCGCCAGAGTATCTCGAAGTGGTCTGTGATATGTTGGCCGACTGGATAGGTCGACTCGGAGAGTTGTGAGTTGTCCCATAGCTGATAGGCCGTGTCTGAGCCGCGATATTTGCGCTCCAAGTACCGACGTTGGAACTCATAGGCTGTCGGTAGTGAATCAGACCCTCCAAAACCCCGCGAAGTAAGAAATTTGGGCCATACCGACTCCGCTCCATACTCCAGCACAAAACCTCTCAACCAGCTTTCCCTCTTCCTGCAGCAGCCCAGGCTCGATATCCTTGAGAGGCACGCGCCGAACGCAACGATCGTACAGCGCAGGGAAGTTGCGGTTCGGGTTCAGTTTGTTGTAAATCGGAGAAGAATAAATCGGGTCGGTGGTGACATCGTAGGGAACGAACTGGGCTCGGCGGGTGTAGTATAGAAACCCGCCGAAACCTGCTGCGCCTACGGTGGTAGTCACAGCAGCGAATCGGGACGCCAATCGTATGGCTGAGTGCATGGAAGTATAAAGACGGTCAAAGTCACCGTGCGGACACTTTAAGTAAGGCAAAACATGTTTGTCTGCCACTGGTGCAAGCGCCGATCTGGTCCGGTGCGAATAAGCGCAGAGGCGGCATTGTATGTTTCTACTCGGAAAAATGAGATGCTGACACTCCAATTACCACCGCTACGTCAGCAGACACTCGTTAAACAGCAACGTTCAGCACCGCAGGGGATGTCAAGATCAAGGGAGACTTGAAGGCGTCGCTGAAGCATACAAACGACCGCGCACTTCCCCATTCAGCTTGCATTCCACTTGTTCAAAGAAAAGTCCACGATGACGCGATGTCCGAGATATTTTGAGCGTGGATAATCGATCACACAATGGAAAGAATTTATCGTGCCCCACTTTCGATTCATGCCCGGAACTAAGGGACCGCAGCGTCCTCGGCATTGAACATGTGCTCCATGGGCGACACAGGGCTTCGTGGGGTGTATACGGAATGGAAGGAGGGGAACAATCGGGCAGGCATTCGCGGTCCGAGAGCACATTGGGGAGGGTCGGAGCAGCCACGTTTCAAATCGAAAGGAGACATATAGGATGAAAGCCATCTGGATTACTTGTCCGAGGCGTGCGGTGTCAGATGATAGTTTCCCCGAGCAGTCTTGGAATATCAATACCACCTTGGTACCACCTGCTGCGCTGCGAATCGGAACCATCAATTGATCTTGAGGAACACCATGGTTTGCACGTCACATTCCGAAGCGCCGATTGTCCACGGAAAAGAGTAACCTGAAGGAGTACCGGTAGATTGCTGTGGAGAAATCGGGACAGGTTGATAATCCGAGCCCAGAGGTTGAGCCGATGATGACTCGACCACTCAAGGAACCAGATTCCAATCTCGAGGGGTATCTACCTTCTGTACGCCTGTGTCGTATCACTTCGAGTAGTAACCAAGTTTGGTGCGTGAGACATTGAACAGGGGCGCCAAGAAGATTGGCACGCTGGGTGAAAACTCGAAGACGATCAATCTTGATATTTGAGCTGACGAAAGCTTGAATCTGCGGCCGAAGTTCGATAGGTTCTGGTCCTCCTGACTACAGAGGTGGCCAACATCCGAGCCATTAGCCTGGGTTAAGAACCTCGTAAGCCAATATCTCGGTTGACATCAGTAGTATCCGTAAGTTCCGTATGGTCATGCTGGGCGGAAAATCGTTGGTTTAGATGAAGCAGTTGAACGATCTCTGTCATATAAGCGCACAGCACATTCTCCACACAGATAGTGCATGTGTGAGTTTGGGCTTTCGACTACGAGGTGCCACCATCCCAAGAGAATATGAGATGGGGAGAGACAACACTACGAAAGCATGAATGCTATGTTTCAAGCTCCGAACTGCTCGCCGCCGATGGCCGAAGGTGATGACACATGATGACCATCAAAGAGCTTGAGTGCGTCCGTGCACAGAATCGGATGATCCCGGCCGCAGTTTCAAACTCCGCCCTGGGGTAAAATTTGGCTGACCCTGCTTTACCTGCACCACAGAGCGCATACGAGTTATAGGCGTACGCCCACCGCCAAAACCCCGATAATCACCAGCTCTCGTTCCACCCGACTTTTCCTATAAGGTACGCTCCTTGCTCCATGCTATGTCTTTTGGGCTCGAAAACTCTCGATATATGCTATCTCGTCGTCGTAGACAACGACGTTGAGCGTGAAGGGCGCGTTATTTGTTTGGCCCCAGACGCGTCCTACCCATCATCACCATTATTCTCCCCACATATTCCCCACAGTCTTTCCACTTTCTTCGACTCTGTCGTTCCTATGGATCGTCCCTACCGGTGCTGATCGTCGCGTTTCGTCTCTAGATATGCCGAAGGAAGCAAAACCGAAGGTAAGCCTCCCGCATGCCATCAATCCTCTTTCTGCTGGTTGTTCCTGCTCTTCCCACGGTGTCTCACGTTGTTTCTTCGTCGTTGCGGATCTCTGACACGAGCCATGGGACGTCGTGGTGTCACGCCTAGTCAAAGAGACACATCACTCTTTTCTAAATATCTTGCATCCTGCTCTTGCACTATTCACTCCTCCCTATCCGCGTGTCCACACCGGCCCGCCGTTGTCCCATCTTGCCGTTGCAAAGATCACACTGTCTCGAACGTCCCTTTCCGAAGTCTTCCATAAGCGCATATATCGCCCTGTGACGCCTTGCTAACTATTTATACAGCGCAAGGCTGCCGAGAAGGCTGAGAAGCCGGCAAGAGGAAAAGGCGGCAAGAAGGACCCAAATGCGCCCAAGCGCGCCATGTCTGCGTACATGTTCTTCAGCCAAGACTGGCGTGACCGCGTGAAGACTGAGAACCCAGACGCGAGTTTCGGTGGGTCTCGTTCCGTCTTTCGCAATACTATGAGCTAAGACCATCTCCAGGCGAACTGGGAAAACTGCTTGGTGCCAAGTGGAAAGAACTCGATGAGAAAGAGAAGAAACCCTACGTGGACCAAGCTGCGAAGGACAAGATTCGTGCAGAGGATGAAAAGATCGCCTATGAGGTCCGTGATTCTCCCCCAAGCGTTTGTTTCTACTCTAATGCGATCTGAAGGGCGGAGGTAAGAAGAGCGCCCAGGCGAGCGGCGAAGAAGACGAGGAGGATGACGATTAGGCGAGCTGTCTTGCAGATGGACCTGACTGTACTACTGATTGAGCTTGTCATTGACGAACGACGTTGCGCGATGATAAATGCATCGTTGTACCATAGATATCTGTCTCCCGCTCTGCGTCGTGCCGACATATACCTCCCTACATTACTGTTGCTGTGTTACAAATAAAATTAGTTTCTGCTTTTGGCAATTCTGGCATCGAATGCGAGGTATGTTGTCGTACTATGTCTCGTACGCACAATCAAGTGGGCGCGGCCACCGAAGTTGGTAGTTGAAAAAGTGACTGAAAGTGTAATTCAGTTGATGTTGGAGGCACATCAGAGGCGGCGATTGCCGGACTAGTGATCATATTTGGGAGTTTTCACTTATCTACCACAATGTGACTTTGCACGTCCGCATATAGTTGACGATCGTTGACTGAATCCGACTCCAGTGCCGGATCGGTAGGGAGTCCAACGCAGACATGCCTGCCGCCACATCGCCATACGAAGACTGGACCAAGGCGGATCTCATCGCAAAGCTCATGGAACTGGAATCAAAACGCGAAACGACGCAATCGGCGGCGCGAGAGAAAATCGACTTCGCCTGCCACGCGCGGCGCAAGATCGCGCTCAGGTTCTGCTACGCCGGGTGGGCGTACAACGGGCTGGCCGTGCAGGCGCAGCCGACGCCGCTGCCGACCGTCGAGGGCGTGCTGTTCGCGGCGCTCGCGAAGGCACGGCTGGTCGATCCGGATGCGGGGATGGACGGATGTGGGTGGGAGCGGTGTGGGCGGACGGATCGGGGGGTCAGCGCTGCGGGGCAGGTCGTGTCGCTCTGGGTGCGCAGCGCTTTGCGGCCAGAGGAGGATGCATCGCGCACTGGGGAGACGCTTGGCTCTACCCGTGCTGAGGATGCGGAGGCCGGAGAAGAGGCATGGGGTGAGGGAGATGATGACTTTTTTGGCGCGTTCGACGAGACGGATTTCGCGGGGCCCTCTCGCTCGAGCAGCGCACAAGAGCAAGAATTCCACTACGCGGTAGTTCTCAACCGGATCCTCCCTCCCACCATCCGGATCATCGCTTGGTCTCCGGTCTCGCCTGACTTCTCTTCGCGCTTCTCCTGCCAGTCCCGGCATTACAAGTACTTCTTTAGCGCGGACGAGCTGGATGTCGGACGCATGGCAGACGCGGCTTCGCTGCTCGTGGGGGAGCACGACTTCCGCAACTTTTGCAAGTTCGATCCGGCTAAACAGCTGACCGTGTACACACGACGCGTGCAGAGCGCGACGATCAGCGCCGTGCGCGACTCCGATTCAGATGGGATGTACGTGTTTGATCTAGTGGGGAACGCGTTTCTGTACCACCAAGTGCGCCATATCATGGCGATCCTGTTCCTCGTCGGATCCGGGCTCGAGCCACCGTCGGTCGTGTCGGCGCTGCTTAATGTGGCGCCGGGTGCCGAGGGCGACGCCGACGCATCTCTGCCCGTCGTGGACACGAAACCCGAGTACCAGATGGCCGACGGCCTGCCCCTCGTGCTATACGCGTGCCACTACCCCGCCGGCGCGTTGGAGTGGCGGTCCGATGCGGAGACCACGACGTCCTCGGAGGGGCTGTATCGGCAGATGCACACGGCGCTCGGGCGGTCTGAGATGTTCGCCACGCTCAACCGAGTCTTCCTCGCCGCGGCCGCCGTGTATCATCCGAAGCCGCCGTCGACGCTCCCGATCCACGAGACGGGTTTCGCTGTGGATGGGAAGACGGCGATGAACGTGCCCCTCGGCGGCTCGGAGGTCCGGTGGGTGGCAAAGTACGTGCCGGTACTAGAGCGCAAGCGCGGGGACCATTTCGAGGTGGTCAACGAGCGGTGGAGGCTGGGCAAGGGTGCGAGAAGAGATGAAAGGAAGAAGGCTGGGACCGAGGAAGCGCCAGTCTGTCCGGCTTAGCGCGCATCTGGGCTGTCCCATGATGTTTAGACTCAAAATCCTCGCTAGTGAACATACTTGGGCAGAAATCAAGACATACGCCGCAGAGGAGCGATGTGCGCAGTCGAAATCGAGCTTGAACCGGCTCGCGAGCATGTTCTTGGGTGCAGTCCAAGCGCAATCATGGTGCTAGAAGGCTGGGTATGACATACAGACTCTCGCAACCGCGAGGCGATGCAGGGGGCCACTCTCACCATTTCGTCCCCCAGATATTGGGAGCAGTGAGTTACGTCGAGAATGCTTGAATCAGGCACGAAATTGGGACAGAAATAGATAACTCGGTGAGCTCGGGGTGCATTGCAACGCCTCACATGGCCTCTCGGTGGCCAGCGTCCTCAAGGACGTCTGTGTGAAGAATCGAATATGCAAATATGCAAATTGTGACGTCGTATGCTGCTTGAGGGCGCTGAATCGAGTAGGCGGCACCGATCCAGCGACCAAGCAGAACTCAATTTGTGAAAAATCTGACATGCCGATGCAGGGCACAGACAGACATCTATCTGCACGACCGCAAGAACCGTAAGCCAAGCAACCACCCGGATAATCTCAACGAGGCCCCGAGACTGATGGTACATCATGCGCAGATCGAGAACCGAGAAGCCTGAGAACGATTCTGGCGTAGGCCGACAGGCGACGAGATGTTTCATTCGTCCAGATGGCGCAAACATTTCAATTCCCACATCCGGTTTAGCGCAGAAGTAGAGACTCTGCAGGGACGATGTCGACATACTTGCATACGGTTGCAGAAACGTGGACCGTCGATCGCACTAGCGCGTACCATCCCCCTGGAATTCTGGGGCAAAGAGTGTGGGGCAAGGCAAGATCTTTGCGAAGCATTAGCTGTGAGCATGGGAGGCTAAACTACATTGGTTTGCGCAACCACTCGAACGTTCAACTCCGTAGTCTACGTTCCACTGAGACTGTAAGCACAATTGTTCCATTCCACATAAGGGCTAGATACACTTTTTACGACGGGAGGCAGGTGATGATGGAGCTGAGTTTGCTGATGACAGTAGCCTGGTCGGCAACGCTCGCCTCGGACTTGATCAAGTCCTTGCTGGCGATGAAGGGGCTGACGCTGGCGTAGCATCCCGAGGCAGTCATGACGTCGTTCTCGCTGGGCAGGTGCTTGGAGCCACACGTGTTGACGTCGTCCACGAAGATGTTGTTGTAGATCCGGCTCAGCACGAACTGGAAGTCGTCGCCGGACGCGCACGCAGAGGAGATCGGCGGGTAGTTCACGTTCAGCGACACGCCGCTCGGCAGGTACGGCTTGCTCCCGGCCAGGAGCACGTTGACCAGCCGCAGCGTCGCCTGCGAGTAGATCTGCGCCGCCTGCGAGTTGGCCGACGACGGGTCCGACGTCAGCGTCGTGTACGAGACCTGGCTCCCAGTCGAGCCAGAGACGGCAATCGACGGGATCCCAGCAATCACGGCAGCCGAGGCGGCACCGCTAGAACAACAGAATCAGTGAGCAGTTTGAATCGCGAGTGCGGATGGCACGTACACAGTGCCAGACAGCGTCGTCGCAATGCCGATGTTCGCACCGACATTCGGTCCGCTGACGACAAAGTCGGGCGCGGAGCCAAACAGGTCAGGCGCGAGCGTCTTGATCCCAAAGTTCGCCGAGTCGGCGGGGTAGGCATTGACGTAGTTCAGCTTGTCGTTGCTCGGGTCGGATCCCTCCGCCGGCGAGCCCTTCGGGCACGAGTTGTACTCGCATGCCGAGGTCAGCGTCGTCGCGGTCTTGCTCGACGAGCCCGTGCCAGACTCGTTTTGCGCCGGAGCGGACAGGATGACCTGTGGAGCCGCATGATGAGGACACGGTATGGTAAGAGAGGAGATGACGGAGTGCATACATCATAGCCCGCAGCCTCCAATGCGGAGTACTGGGCGCGGATATGAGCAACCGCCCAACCTGGTCGTCCACATTAATAAAAGCTGGACTCGAGCTGGAGCAAGCAGCATTACCGTCATCGTTCGTCAGCACGATCTTGGGTGCCGCGACCGCCAACTGGACGAGAGCACAGAGGATGAGGGTGCGGAAAACCATGGTCCAGGGAGGGGTGTCAGAGGGAATCGAACACTGGCGAATCGCTGTTGCGCGGATGGGGAGTGACTTTATAGCATTGAGATTCGAAGTGCGGCGGTTGCACAAGGCACGTTCATACGGTGCACATGGGTCGGCGAAGGAATGCGAGAGTAATCAAGAAGCAGCCCTGCACAAGGCTCGTCATGCATACGAATCATGATTGTTTCCCCGTGATGCAAACCTGGAGAATCTCGACGTCGGTTGCCCCACATTGCCATTGACGCAGCGGGCGGGGTCCCGAGACGAGACGGTCGAGGACCCACACGGACATCCACGTAGCCAGAGGACCCTGTAGAGACGCGCTTTGTGTGTCTGGGTGTGCCTCTGTGTCTGTGAAGCGGACGCACACATGACTGGACAGAGAAAAGAACTCGACGACCGAATCAAAAATCGGTTCCAATCCACCCTTGATCGGCGTTGATGCATACATGCTTATATACTTAGTTCGTTATGGATCGGCGTGTGACCTGCTCCACTTCTTCACGTGACCGTGAGTAGCGCGGTCGAGGTAACCCGACGCCCCGCCACCGATTCCCATGCAAGAGCCCCAAATCTTCTTCGAGAAAGAGCAATGTTGGATGTTGAAAAATCAGCCTTGTCTCCAGGAGACTCATAGGCGAGACCGTTCAGTACGCTTGCTAGCTTCTGTGTGTGAATAGGTCATTGCGGTCTGGCCTATGACGCGGTTGTAACTGTAGAAGCAAGCAGAAGGGTCGGATGTATTCCGGCAGCCGCGTGAAGGAAGCGTCGCCAGAGGTCGCCACGTTGCAGTAGGGTGCACGCGCACGCGAAGCAGCCACACAGGCAAACACAACAATCCCACGTCCGCCTACATACTGTACGACTTGGAGTGAAAGGTGCATCATCGAATTCAAGTTCAACTATCTACGCTAGTCTTTCTGCCTCAAAGCAAATGTGAATGGGATCGATGTCATCATAAAATACTACGCCTGGGGACTAGCCCTGGGCGCACCATCGTGGCTACAAAACTTGCTCGCTAGTAAGTACACTCTCGCACTTTAGAAGTTCGACAGGCGGCGACCCATCAACCGGCGGCGCTTGCCGCCCGTCTTGCTCTTCACAGCGGCGCTGGCAGACGCCTCGGGGGCGGCCACGCTCGACGCAGCAGCCGAGGGAACCGCGCTCGCGGCAACGGCGCTGGACGCTGCGACGCTGGGTGCGACGGCAGAGCTGGCAGCGACGGCGCTCGAGACAGCTGCGCTGGGAGCGGCGGCGGCGGAAGAGACAACAGCAGACGCGGCAGCCGAGGCCGACGCGACGACAGCAGATGCGGATGCGGATGCGGACACGGCCGAGGCGGCGACAGACACGGCGGACGCAGAGGCAGAAACGGCCGATGCCGAGGCAGATGCAGATGCAGACACGGACACAGCCGCCACGGTGGCGTTCTTGCCTGCAACAGCGCTGAACTGCAGACTAGTCAGTACGAGTTCGCATGGACGAGAGCCTATCCACTAACGTAGCTGCAGTCGTCAAGGGAACCGTGCTGGGCAATCGGGACAATTGCCGGCTGGTGGTTCATCGCAGTGTTGATCGAGCAAACACGGTACGAGCCCACGGGCAGACCAGCGGTCACCGAGGTGGAGAGCAAGCCGTTGGAGTCCGCGGCATTGTTGATACCCTAAGAGGGAAAGGATAAATTTAGCATCGGACGGGTCGCGGTTGCATTGCTCAGGAACTCACCTTGAAGAAGACGAACTTGCGCGCGTCGTTCGGGGTAGTCTGGTCGATCGTGCTCAAGCTCTCAACAACAAAGTGAGTGTGACCGATGATCTGGCCGGCCGAGTTCAGCTGTTGCGGGGCGGCGTAGTACGTCGACGCCGCGTTGGTGAATGCACCGGTCTGCATGCCCCGGATCTTCATCGTCAGGTTGAACGGAACCAGCGCATCAACCGTGCCGAAGTTCTTCGGGAACTGGAACTTGGACGAGGGCATGTTGCTGGTGGAGGGGATCGAGCCGATCGGCACGGGGTTGCAAGATCCGGTGGTGACCTGGGCGCCGTTCGTCAACGGCGTGCCCGGCAGCGTCAGGGCACAGAAGTTAATGTAGTTGTTCGTCGAGGTCTGCGACGCGCTTTGACCTGCGGACGAGGGAAGACCGCTTAGCTTATCCCGGCATCCGCATTCGGTACAAACGCACCTGTCACCGGAGGATTCTGTCCGTCGTCGGTGAAGTTGGGGCAAATGACATTCGGGTCCAGGGCTGATATGCAATTAGCCGGGGTTTCGCCTGAAACACGATCACGCACTGAGCGAGGTCTGGGCGGCAGTCGCATCTGTGACACCACCGGTGGACGTGGCCAAAACGGCAGTAGTGGTGCTCGAACCCGCGGTAGAGAGAGCCAGGACCGCGGAGGATGTCGACGCGGCCACGCTGTCGGAGGTGGTGACCGCGCTTCCGGAGTTGTTGCTGCCAGAGTTGTTGCTAGATCCAGAGCTGCTGCTGCTGCTGCTGCTACTTCCGCTGTTGTTGTTGCTGCTGCTGCTTCCACTGTTGTTGCTGCTGCTGCTGCTGCTGCTTCCGCTGTTGTTGCTGCTCGAGCTAGAGCCAGAAGAAGATGACGCGGACGTGCTGGTGGATGAAACGGCGGTGCTCGTCACTGTGTGGGTGCTGACCACGGTCTGGGTGTGCGTGTGGACGACGGTGCTGATAGCGATCGTGGCGGTCTGTACGGGACACGATCGTCAGATTGGGCCCTAGGGCGGAGAAAATGCGGGCCACGCACGGCACAGAAAGTCTCAGTCTCGAAGCTCTGCTTGGCCTGCACAGAGACAGAGGACGCCGCGAGGGTGCAAAGAGCGAGGAAGGTGCGTTTGGAGAACATGATGGGGCAAAGAACGATGGCAAAGGAAGGGGATGCTTTGAGGGCTTGAGGGAACTACTGAGAGCGGACCTGATTGAAAGACACCTGTGTCGGCGTGATAGAAGGTGGTGCACTAGGCAAAACCACAGAAACGGGATGACACCAAAGAAAGAGGAAGGGTGAAAAAGATCAAGCACCGGCGATAGAGCCTTATATGCACATTGCATGCCTGATTGATCCTGACTTTGATCTCCAAATCGGCTTACTTTCGGCCCCTTCGTTGACGACGACCGTCAGGCACCGAGATCACATTGTCAGTTGCAACCCGGGCCTTCAATTAACGGCACGTGGGTAAGCCGACGTCATTTCCGAGAAATTACCCTGCCTTGACTGAGCTGGAGAGAGCTGCAAGGGCGAGGGGCTGAAAACCTGGCTGAAACTGCGTCGGGATTTCTCTCCAGTGAGGCCAGCGACCATCTGTCCGTCAAAAGTCCTGTCAGGACGCACAGCGTGGTCCGTTACCACCGTGGACAGCCTCGTCTGCATTCGGCGTCGAATTGACGCGAGAGATATATTTATCTCATCATACAATCATGCGGTGAAACGCGCTAGCCAACACCTTCCCCGGACTCCAAGCCTGCCTTCGACAGTGCGTGAACATGTGGGACACGATCACAGTCCCTAAGCGAACTCCCTTCTCCCAACGACACTGCGGACATCGGCGCTCCCTGTTCTGGCCGCTGTGACAGGCAATGAGGAGCGATGACGGGTCGTGCTGATCAGTGGTCGCATCCCGTCACTGAATGATACACCTGATCGCTTCTGATCCACGGAGCACACATCTACAGAGTGCACCGCCCGAGTGTTGAGTGCTCAGTGCCGTTTGAAACACCGTTCAAGTCAACGCGCCCGGAAGTCAACGTTTCAACGTCAACGCCCGCTGGACATGTCAGATTCAAGCACCAACAAGTCAACTAGTTGCAGTGCGGCAACTGTAGCTTCCGCCGACGCTTGCCTCGATACCAACCGAACGCTGGCACATCACAATAAGCCTTAAAAATAGGCGTCCATGTTTAAGATCATCGTTATTTATGCTCGATGCCAAATTAAGCAGATGAGATTGTTAACAGCGTCATTCCTGAACGATTTCGGCGGCGAGTAGACACCGGTGGATTCGTAGGACAACCTCAAAAGGCTCTGTTCGTTGTGAGCGCCACGGGAGGATGCTATCCAGCCTTTATATCGAACACAGCAGTCCATAGTGCTCTTGACGAAAGTCGCCAGTGGCACATTCAAGTCGTGACAGGGGCGGCCTGTTATGCAAGGACTACGAAAGCAGTTTGACCGGGGCTTCTAAGAAAGCAATTTCAAGTGGTCCTGAATGTTGAATGAGTGTCCAACCGCCGCCGCTGACCGTCAAGACCCCAACGTCGAGGAGGATATTGGCCTGAATCTTCTGGGCACGTTCACTCCTACTGCAGTATCATCGTTCGACAGTTAGGCTACAGTTGAAACCGGATCGATTCCATCCTCTGATTCGTGCCTCCCACGGGCTTTGGAGGCCAAGGCTGGAGGTCGGGTACTTATGGAAGCGGCCTGAGGCTGGAGGGGACACGACAAACAGTCGCATACAAGGTGGCTCATCATTCACAAATTAGGACATTATTCGGCCTGCGCTACTCTCAGCGTCTCCGTCCTCCCGTGCAACCGGCTTCTCCTTGTTCTCTTGCGCCTTTATCGCTTCAGCAACCTGAGTATCTGCCCACTTTCCGCCAATGAGCGCAAGAGCTCCTCGCAAGGGAGAAAACTACGAGCTTAGTGTCGACCTCAATAGTGGATATGCGGACAAACGCAAGGATGCGATTAAACGCGTCATTGCCGCTATGACCGTCGGCAAAGGTGGGGGTCCATTCCGATGCTCCCTGCCTATCTTGAGCTGACGATGACCAGACGTGTCGGGGCTATTCCCCGATGTCTTGAAGAACATGCAGACGACCGACCTGGAACAGAAGAAACTGGTGTACCTGTATCTCATGAATTACGCGAAGACACAGCCGGAGCTAGTAAGAGGCTTTCTTCCGGCCTAGTCATCCAAGGCTCATACGACGATAGGTCATCCTCGCTGTCAACACTTTCGTCAAAGATTCCGATGACCCCAATCCGCTAGTCCGGGCTCTTGCCATCCGAACGATGGGCGTATTACGAGCCGAAAAGATTATCGACTACCTATGCGATCCCTTGCAGAGGTGTCTACGGGACGAGAATCCATACGTCCGCAAAACCGCAGCCCTGTGCGTGGCCAAACTGTACGATCTCAAGCCGGAGTTGGTGATAGAGAATGGGTTTCTGGAGCAGCTACATGATATGCTGACGGACAGCAATCCTATGGTGAGCAGGCTGTCTCGTGCATGTCGCACGGCCGCTAATGGGCCAAGGTCGTCGCAAACACTGTTGCCGCGTTAACGGACATCCACGAAGCTGCCTCTTCTCGCCCATCGAGCTCCACCACCGACCCGGGAATCTTCAACGTCTCCCCACAGACCCTGAACCGGCTTTTGATCGCGCTGCCGGAATGCTCTGAATGGGGTCGCATCGCGCTCCTGAACGCGCTCGTCCGATATGTCGCGCAAGACGAGAAGGAGAGCGAACACATCTGCGAACGCGTGGTTCCGCAGTTCCAGCATGCCAATAGTAGCGTCGTGCTTGCTGCGATCAAGGTGAGCCGTCTTCGTTATCTCGACTCACACTCATCATTTTCGAGGTCGTTATGGTCCACATGCGGGGAGTCGGACGCGAAGATCTCAACAAACAACTGATACGCAAAATGGCGCCGCCGTTGGTTACGATGCTCTCGTCGCCGCCCGAAGTGCAATGGGTCGCCCTCCGCAATATTAATCTCCTGCTGCAGAAACGACCGGAGATTCTCTCATCGGAAATTCGCGTCTTCTTTTGCAAATATAACGATCCGCTATACGTCAAGATCGAAAAGGTGGACATCATGGTTCGATTAGCTCATGACAACAACGTGGACGCACTATTGAGCGAACTGAAAGAGTGCGTTGGATTAGGCTTCTGATTACTGTGCCTGCTGAAAACATCCAGGTATGCCTCTGAAGTCGATGTTGATTTCGTGCGCAAGAGTATCAAAGCCATCGGCCAGACCGCGGTCAAGATCGACTCTGCCGCTGAGCGCTGTGTAAATGTCCTGCTAGAGCTGATCGCAACGCGCGTCAGTTATGTGGTGCAGGAGGCTGTGGTCGTGATGAAGGTGAATCTGACCAAAACCAGAGTGGGCTTTACTGAACGTGTTTCGAGGATATATTCCGAAAGTACCCATCCACCTATGAGGGTGTCATCCCCACTCTGTGCGCTAACCTCGACGAATTGGATGAACCCGAAGCCAAGGCTTCCCTGATCTGGATCATTGGGGAATACGCGAACAAGATCGACAATGCGGATGAGCTTTTGAACATCTTCGTGGACTCATTTGTCGAGGAAGCGTATGCAGTGCGTGTTACCCTTTGTTCCAGGACGATCAGTGCTCATGACTACAAGGTTCAACTCCAAACCCTGACAGCAGTCGTGAAGCTTTACTTGAAGAAGCCGGAGTCCTCTCAGGCCATCGTGCAACATGTCTTAAATACCGCGACGAGAGAGTGTGATTCGCCCGATGTTCGTGACCGGGCATATGTCTATTGGCGACTCTTATCGACAGATCCTGGCGCTGCGAAAGTGTGTTATGTCCTTGTATGGTGTTATGCTTCTGACTTGCTGGCCAAGGCCGTTGTTCTCGCCGTCCGGCCACCCATCTCGATACCTCACACGACCGTAGCACCAAAGTTACTTGAAGAACTCTTGGGAGAAATCTCCAATCTTTCTAGCGTGTACCACAAGCCGGCGGAGACTTTCACCAACTTGGGTCCTGTGGGGATCGACTCCATCCAGCAAAAACGTGTCAAGTAAGGGTAGCTTACGCCAAGCTATCATCCTATAAGCTGACATGCTTCGACCCCCAGTCTCGCCGAAGATGACCGATTCTCGCAGAAAAAGGCTCTGCAGACCGTCGCTGCTGGTCAGCACGTTGAGAACCTGCTGTGAGTTCTTGCAATATATTCAGACAGTCGGCGGCGCAGTGGGACTGATTTGACCTACGCAGGGACTTCGACGATGATCCCGCTGTCGAGGGCCAGCCAACGGGATTGGCGGCGACCGAGATACTGGCACAGCCTGCCGCTGCCAATCTCATGTCCGGGATGTCGAGCAACCCACTCGACGACCTCGTCTCGATCTTCGCCGCCATTCCGAGCGCACCTGTCAGCCCGCCCGTGACGAATGGGTTCGCAAACTCGTTCAATGCACTTTCCTCACCCGTTGCCTCGGCACCTATGCAGTCCCCAACACACCAGCAGCAGCAACAGGAGGATCTCCTTGGGCTGTTCTAGGTATCATGGTCGGGAATGTCGACTGCCACTGGCACATTGCTACATAGATTCTGGTGCTGCCGACGTCATTTACGGATTTCGATTCTGGGATTGGATGAAGCGAGACTGTATGAATACAATGGTACCATGCACTACACGGGATCAAGGCAAGGCCATGTGAATCTCTTTTACTGCTTGCCGGCCTTGGCCAACTCAGCGGCATGTTCCTTTTCCAGTTGTTCCTACAAGGAGGGATTAGCCCGAGCAATAAAGCACTGATAATGATGGAGCTCACCAGCTCGGTCTTCTTCTGCTCGATCTACGTCCACCGTGCATTAGTATTGGAAAATAAGGATGAAGGACTGGGATGACGTACGTTGGCGCGCATTTTCGCAAGCTGTTCTGCCTCATGACGGCGAGCGTACTCGTCTGCGAGCTATGAGACGGGAAAACGCGTGAAAGGCACCGACGCACTCTCGTGAGCTTGTTCCTTCTTACTGTAAGCCGTCAGCGATATATTCTGGGGTAACGGGCCAAGAGTGTACTCACTTGAAACCCTTGGATTTAGCCACCGATCCAGCGTCTTCGCTGTAGAAGCGTTTGGGGGTCATGAGGGCCCGGGGCAGACGACGGGCAGCAATTCTCGCGGTGAACATGGTGGTTTGAGTGAAGGGGTTCTGGAATTGCCTGGATGTTGTTTCGAGTTGCCGTCACTCTGTTACGGAACGTTGCGGGCTGATTGTGA